GTATCTTGGAAATATAGATTGGTGAACTTCTTACCTCTGTCATATCACGTGTGAGTTGCACCCTCGGATGAGGTTCAGATTGGTCACAGCCTTGCTCTATAATATCTATGAAACTCCAGAAATTAGAGGAATCAGAATTGCTGTTCTGCTCTGACGAGACCTAAAAAGCAAAACCAGAGAAGTGCCTCCAACACCTGCTGCTCAGAACAGGCTGCAGGGCAGTGGCTTGGTGGTCCAAGTCAGCTGAAGGAAGGTTTTAAGTGTTGGGGGTTGTTTTCAGCTTGGAAGTTTGTACATTCCTTGGCTTGTGAGAGTAGAGTGAAATAGCCCATTTCCTATCCACACCGGGTAATAGATTCCGGTATCTTAGGGAGTTGCCATAGTGATAAAAAAGGGAACAGAATCTGCTTGTCTTTCTGGGATAGCAGAATTATTAAATTAAATGCTTCTTTTCCATTAAAAGAGAGTGTCATTATCATATTTCTGAGAAGAACTGTGCGTGTTCAAGCTGATGTCTTGCATTAATCACGTTCCTTCTTCAAGCACCTCCAGCCTTGACTTGTGCTTGGGATGCACCTCTGCATCTCCCTGGTTGCAGCTGCTGGAACAGCTGCCTTAGAAAACACCTTGCTTGGGAAAGAGTCTGCTTTTGATCTGGTGGGTAGAAATCACGGAGTTGGGACCACAAAGAGCTGGGCAAGAAGCAAGAGCTGCCCAAAATTGTAACCCAGAAACTAAAGTATGAAACGTGAGTTGCAGAGGATGAAGTGGGATGAAAAGGGACACCCCAGAGTGGAGTGCAGGGAACGTGGCTGCCAAAAATGGTGGCTGCGACAGGTAGATGAACTGAGAGGGAAGGGGAGAAGGCAACAGGAAGGGAATGTCCTTAAGCTTCGAACTAAGTAGGAGTGAACAGCAACATCATCGAGGTTTTCAGAGAGGAGCTTTCAGCTCTTGTAGTGGAGATGCACGGGCTGCCTGTGGAAGCTGGAGTAGCCCAGTCAGGCACTGCTCAGCCCGTTCATTGCAGGTGCAAAAAGAAGCAATTCACACTGGATCGCTTTTCGCTTTTATTCCTTTCAGGAAAGCAAATTTAACGAACTTTAGGCCAAATAGAAATCGTTGTGATGGCTCAGAGTTCCCCGTGAAAACGGCCGTTCTTACCAGGTTGTTAACTCCGTTCTTGCTGGTTTATCTTCTTGATGACTTGTACTTACCTGGTAATCTTCCCCTATTTTGGGATCGCAGCTCTGTTTCAGAAATATAAAAACAAAGGTCTCTTGAGTATCTTCCTGCCCCCACCTGCCCCCTCATTTCACACGGGAGGAAACCTTGGGGGCAGAGGCAGGAGCTGCAGCGTTTGAGCCTGGCTCCTTTCCTCCGGAGCTGCAGGTTTCAGTTTGCAGAATGAACAAGCAGGGTAAAACCTTTACTACTCACAGGCTCAGTCCTCTGCTTGTATTTACCAGTTATCTTTTGAGATTTCAGTCAGCCGTGGTTTAAAGTTCCACGGAAGTCACTGAGCTCAGCGTTCAGATAATTAACCAGGAATTGCAGTTAATTCCTCGCGCGCCTGGGTGTCTTGCAGTGTGTGATTTCCAACTCTTCCTTTCCTTCCATCTCCTGTTTGCTGCCTTCCCACCAGGGAGGAGCTGCCAGAGGTTGGCTTTGCTGGAGTCCCTCCCTACCTGGCTGTGTTTGGAGGTGGTTGCTGCTGGAATACATTCCAGACCGCCCCTCAGGGTACCGGTAACAGCTCTGGAACACCGTGGATCTTGGTGCTGTTTGGCAGCAGGTTGTTCTGCCACTAAAACTCATCGATCCCAGCTTGGTTGGAAGCTCTTATAAACTGATAAGAGTTCATTAGAGCAGGTCTTGTGTTGTGTTGTGCACTCCTAGTGTCTGGAAATCACAGTCCTGTTATTCTTAACTCCAGGAAAAACTGAGTTTAACCCCCCTGAAAGAAGCATCCATCAGTTTTAATGAACTCAGCTTGTGATGAGTTTTTGTCTCCATATTTACTTCAGGGATTGCCACGTAAAAAATGCCTTTCCACCTTTTTAGATTATTTTTTGTAAATGGACTTCAAACAAAAAAAAAACTCTTTGGCATTTTGTTTCATTGGCAGTAATTTACAAAAATGAAGTGTGGGTTAAAGGGCATGTCTGATGTTTTAAAATACTATCAAACTATGCTATTTTATTAAAGTTATGGACTGTTGTAACTTTTTAGCCTTAGGTTCCCTTTCCTTATGGAAGCACAACTTTGGACAGAAATACAACGTGGCAGAGAGCAGGATTACCAAAATACAAAGTTTCAACTGGAAGCTATTCTGCTATTTCAAAGAACAGCAAGGCACTTCTTAAAATTTCAAACAAGTATTTATGACTTAATGACCACCTAGAGTAGGAAAAGTCATCCTCATCCTCAGTTTGGAAGATTGGAAAGATTGCTTTGTTGTCATACTGAGTTGTGATATGTTTAATAACAAGATCTATTGAAAAGGAAATGTTAAAATAAAATAAAACCACCCACGTGGTGGTACCTGTCAGGATTTCAGGCCCTCAGTGCTTTGGGGGTGTTCTAGATGTTTTAACAAAATTAAAATCAATATTCCCGTTCTTTGTCTTTTGAGACCAAAATATTGGTAATACTTTTTCAAAAAATCTATTTTTAAACAAGATCAGAGACTGGAAGGGTCAAATCCTTCCACAGACAAATGAAGTTTGTGGTTGGGAATAAGACACGGGGAAGCTGAATAACAGCCCAGCAGTTACAGTTCCTGTTTCTGGCCTCTGAAAGGTTTCAATAGTCCGTCTTAATCTTTCTCAAAATCTCACTTTTAGTTTCAGACATTTTCCTCACTGTTAATCTGATAGACCCTCAAAGCATTAATGAACAGCTGTAGTTATCAGTCGATCGTTTCTCATACCTTGTCTGAATTAGTGGGTAATTTTATGAAATGTTTTGCTATTAATTTTTCAGATAAGAGCTGCCAAAACCCATGGTGTGAGAAATAATAATTAAACTAATTTCTTTGAGCATGCAGTCAACAAAACAAACACAGAAATACAGAAAATAAAATGCTAGATACTTGTGCCATGTGATAGTAGCCAATACCGCTTCTCTTTAAAAGCAGTCTCAGGATTAAACTTCAGATGCTGGTTTTTGGTCTTATAGATGCTATTTGAATTATTCAGCTTTACTCTGGAACACAGCACGTACTCGATAACCTCTTACATTGCCAAGTAACAGCTTTGGGGATGTTGTTTTTTTAATGTGTAAAGATAGAACGTCTTGTACAGTGAAGAAAGGCCCAAATCTGGCAGCAGTGGCTGTGCAGGGAAAGGGAAAGGGAGCGTTTCCTGACGTGAAGCTGCTGGGAGGGCAGCTGGGCCCTGTCTGAAACCCAAGGGTGCAAAGTACAGGGGCAGAGAGGACGAGGCCCAGTCCAATTGTGTTCATTGGACTCTGCCCCGGGGTAATTTACTGCTCCTTCAGTCTGGTTCCTGTAAGCATGAAGAGCACCCACTGAGTAATCCCTGATTATGGGGCTGTTACAGTGATAAGCTGATGTGTGAGGCCCTTCTTCCAGCTATTCCCCCTGAATCCCTGCTGGTAAGGGAAGAGGAGAGACCAGGATGTGGAAAACCACTGTGGTGTGTAAGGAAAGGCTGGGCAGGTCAAGGGAAGAGGAAGATACAATTTAATATTTCAGATAAAGACTTTGCTCAGGAGTTGGATTTATATTTAGGACATTCTGACAGGTGATAAAGTCACCTGGGAATCCTCCCAGTGCGGGGCAGGGGGAAGAACAAATGTGATCTGTTGAGCATGTCCTGTGAGAAGCAGCTGAGAGAGCTGGGGGGGGCTCAGCCTGGAGAAGAGGAGGCTCAGGGGGGACCTTCTGGCTCTGCAAGTCCCTGACAGCAGTGGAGAGCTGGGGGGGTGTTGGGCTTTGCTCCCAGGGAACAAGGGGCAGGACAAGGGGAAATGGCCTCAAGCTGTGCCAGGGGAGGTTGGAGTTGGATATTGGGAAGAATTTCTTCACTGAAAGGGTTGTCAGGCACTGGAAGGGGCTGCCCAGGGAGGTGATGGAGTCACCAACCCTTGGAGGTGTTCAAGAAACAGCTGGTCTGGTTGACAAGGTGGTGATCGGTCACGGGTTGGACCTGATGATTCTGTAGGTCTTTTCTAACCTGAATGGTTCTGTGACTGAAATTTCCTCTTTATTTTGAGGTGAGCAAGAAGGATCCTAGTCTTAGTCATCCTCTTTGGAAGAAGTAAATTCCTGCTATAACGTCTTCAGGACCTTTTGTCTAATGTGATATTGAGTAGCTCCAGTAACAGAGATTTCACTGCTGGGGAGAGACTCCTGCAGGCCAAGGGGCTCTTTGGATGAATAGGGATTGTTTATTTAGGGGTAGTTGTGTTTCTACTTGCTAAACTAAGAAGTTTTGGGGTGTCATTTGTCAAGGATGTCAGCTTTAGATAGATGTCCTCTTGCTCAGACACTCAAGCACCAGAACACAAGCTGATAACCATTAACTTGATGCCTCTATACATTCCCCTCCCTTCTCATCTAGGCTATGTTACAAAGCCATGCTTTGTGCACAGAATGCACAAAGTAATCACAGGAGCTGAGGTTTGTTGGGCATTCAAAAGCTTCTGCAGTGTTGGAAAATGTAATTTCTGCCAATTTTCACGGGAAGGATAATCCTGTGCTTGCCTTTGGTTTTGTAAGTTGAATTGCAAGACTTCAGCCCCACATAGATGTATATATTTGTAAAGCATCTTTTTGAAATATATTTTAACTTGATCAAAGTTGTGAATTTGTGAATTTACTATTGAGAATTTCATACTGAGCAACTTAAACTAGAATTTGGTCTCTGTGAATGCAAAGATGGATATTTAATGTATGTGGATTTTTTTGTTGGTTTTTTTTTTAATGTCCCTTTGGAATCACAGCAATTCTAACCATTTCATTCATTCTTTTCCAGATGGGAATGACAGGTAACACTAGTCCCTTTGGGCAGCCTTTCAGTCAAACTGGAGGGCAGCAGATGGGAGCTACAGGAGTGAATCCTCAGTTACCAACCAAGCCAGGCATGGCCAATAGTCTGTCTCCCTTTCCTGCTGACATCAAGAGTACTCCCGTCACCAGTGTGCCAAACATGGTGAGTTGGACCTGCTGCTTCCAGCATTTTTTACCTCTTCGTGGTGCTTTCTGAGTTCTTGGGTGATCCAGCTTCTGCAGCTATCAAATCACCTCCCATTTAAGCATCAGCGTTGCCCCGGGGTTCCTTTGTGTACATTGTTATGCAGGAGTTTAACTTCCTGAGCAATCACAGTGTTCTGTTACAAGAACTGCACTGCATCCTTTCGTTTTGTCTGGTACATTTAGTTTCCAACCAGATAAAAACGTCTTCTCTAAGTTCTGTTTGTCAGTTAGAATGTGTTGGATGCATCATCACCTTCCTGAGGCTAAATGGAACCTCACAATCCTGAGGGTCTATTGTAGTGAACACCCCACGTGCTTCTCACTTTATGTGGTGCACAACTTGCAGCTCCCAAGCCTATGAGAGCAGTTCTTGTTAGGATACCTTACAAGTTTGTAGTATTCTGTTTACTCGAGTTTTCTTGATCAAGGAAAATGAAATATTCCCGTTTGTCTCAGGATGTTGCGTATTAATCAAACTGCTTGTGTTGTTTCTATGGAAACCTCAGCATGTTGCATTTTATATTCTTATACATGATAGCAGTTACTATAGAAACTTGTTAAACCTTCCATAAGATGCAAATTACCTATTTTTTTTAATTTAAGTCAAAAAACACAACTATTTTTTGGCAGAACCAATGCTTGTCCTTCCATCAGAGAGTTTGCTACCTGCCTGTCGCCAGTAGGCTCTGTATGACAGGCAGCAGGATGTAATAAACTTCCTCTTTTTCTCCTGATTTTAGAGGATCACTCCTAATTTTTCTGTAGTCACACTGTGAAGTCGTTGTTTAATATCATCTGTCATTTACTCTTCATGATTATGGAAAGGAGCTGGTGACTCGTATTTAAAACCATCTTCAGAATGCCACTTGCACTAGTGCAGGATATTTGTAAAAGACAATTTGCTGCATGACTGCTCTAAATTTGTTTTTAAAAATTTTGGGTCAGGTGTGAAGCAAATAAATTATTTTCCAGATTCTACAAGGAACCTGCAGGTCTCCCCAAGGGGCCATATTCCTCTCAGGGACTGGGTGATCTTGAAGCCCAATTTTGTGCTCATTTAAATATCAGGTTTTGGGAAGCCTGAATTTTAATAAACTCACTTATTAGTATAAGGTGCAGTGGCAGATATTCAGGTGGAGTAAAAAGGGCATTTGCCATCTGGGTTTGTTTTGTGGTGGGAGAGAAATAAAAAACTATTTCCTTTCTCCCATCTTGTCCAAGAGACAGAGGAAAATGAGGGAAACTTTCCCAGTACTACAAATTGCAGTTTCTTTAAGATGTCAAAAACAGCAGCTGAGAGAACAGTCAGAACCATCTTTCTTTGTTTCTCAGGTGTCAAAAGCTTCATATGTGCAATATGTGGAGAGTAATGACCATTTCAGCCAAAAGGCATTGGCACTGTCGAGCCAAAAGGTCTCAGCTCGTGGCTCACGAGTGGCTTAGAGGGGTGACAATCCTGGCAGGGGTGGAACTTGAAAAACTGAAGTTTCCATCCAAACATTTTGTATTGTAAAGCCAAGAATTTAAAAGGAAATGTCACACTTGTTAAGAATTTAACCTTTCTTTGGCAGCAGTGGGTAAGGCAGTGTAATTATTTGGTAATAGCACATCCATGGCCATATGCTGTTCCTTCCACAGGGACTTTGCTTTCCTCAGTGAACAATATGAGCAGAGCCCTTGGAAAGAGCACACAGTCAACATTTAGTTCTATTTTTGCTGCTCAGTGTGTGGCTGTGGGCATTGTTGGGGGGATGTTGGAACTTATTTCACTGAAATCTTTTCCAAATGGTTTTTCCTGTGGCAGCCAGCACTGGAGCAGACCTAACATTTAGGATTAGTTAATTTTCCCAGCTCCTCTCTGAGATAAAGATGTGTTGCCCTGGTTTTAAACACAGTAAGAGTGGAAGAATCTGCTGACTCAGAGCCTGAGGTTTGTAGGTTCTGAGTTGCTAAACCTTATTTGCATATTAAGATATTTTCTAAGGGTAAAATAACATTCTTAGCATTCAGTGAGTTATAGGAGCACACATCTGAGTGACATCTGTCTCTCACATTGGGCAACTGAACTGTGACCCAAGTGGCACTTGTGAAAAGCAGCTTGTGACAGGGGCAGGTCCCAGAGCGGAGCTGCAGTGGTGGAGCAATCATGCCAAGCTTCCTTTGCCATTTCTGTGTCCTGGGATGTTTCAGGACCCTGGAGATGATGGTTTGTTTAATGTATTTGGCCTTGTGCATGGTCTGCTGGAGACAGTGCCTGTCCTGGACCCTGACGGGGGCAGGACTGTTAACATCTCTCAAAAATGAACCCATGGAGGATCAGCTCAGACTCCATCTACTACAGCAAGTGAAAGACCAACTACATATTTTAAAAATAAAAACCTCCAGGGTCTTTTGTGGGCTGATTGAAACCACATATCTTGCTAAACCAGCCCTCTGTACTATTCTTATCATAAAAGGGCTCCAAAAGGACTATTCCATGTGAGAGACAAGCCCATGTGAATGCAAACACTGGTGATATGTGGCATATCTGAGGCAGGAAACCAGATTGCAACATGGCACTGAACACTGTGGTTACCATGAAGAGAATATAAATGAGAAAAGAGGAAATAGAAAGGTGCAGCCATTATCTGAAAACCCTAAATCCTGAAAAGCGAGATATTTTTTAAATGCTTTCAGTCTTCAGCCTTACACCTTCATGTGGGCTCCAAAAGTAAAAGATGAGTTTCTTAACCCGCTTTATTCTAATTGTTGTGTGACACCCCTGTCCCCACCACTAACCAGGAGCTTTGCCACTGCCAGGCATAACCCTGGCAGCCAGGACAAATGTGCTGCAGCTGTGCATTTGGGTTTTTTTGATCCAAATCCAGGCTACCACTCTCCTGAGAACAGCACTCTCTTCCCTTCCCAATAAAGTGGGTCTCAGAAGTGTTAGTTCTTTGCAGCCTGTGTTCCAAGCATGACCTTACACTACACCCTGAGAAGCACATTTGGATTAATCTCTTTAATTAGAAAAGAAGAACAAACCTTATGGTATTAAAATGATTAAAAGGTCAGCATTAAGGTATTAATTTTCAGTGCCAGCAGGATGGATTGATTTTTTCTGTTTGTTTTGTTTTAATGGTGGATCCGAAGAGCATATTAGCTCTTAATTTGTATGGCTGCTACAGAATCAGTTCTCTTTACAGAATGGGCAGCTTGGAATCTTGAGGGAAAGGCTTGTTTCCAAAGGAGAAACGTTGCTTCTGGTGTTGTGGGAAGTTTTGGTGCCACGTTATTGAGATTGAGTGTCGCTGAAATGGTTGATGCAGGACTGGCAGCGCTCTGCTGCCCTGAGATCATGCAGAATCCCTGGGCTGTGCAAGTGAGCCACAGCTCACTCTTGGGCACTCAGCACAGTGTGCAGCCTGTTCAGGAGCCAGAAGGCTCCTGGTTTTGGAATGTGCAGGCTCCAGAATGAACTGTCAGTGGAGGGAACCCTGTTAGACTTTCCCATCGCACTCACTGAAGCTTTGCGCTCCCTGTCCCAGGGCTGGTGATGGATGGTTCCTTCATGGACATACCAGTAAATCTAGTGTTTCTACATGAGTTAGGAACACAATGGTTGAAGTTTGGCTTCCAGACACCAGCTTGGTTTCACAGTTATCCCTATGACCAGCAGATGGAGTTGAGAGAATGTTACTTTTTGGAAGCGAAGGAAATCGTTTCTCCTTGGTTCTTGACTTAGAATTGGAGCAGCACATCTTCTCCTGGGTGTTTTTTCCCCCATCTCTTACTAAACTACCTCAAGAGCTTTGTGTTGAGTTCTTTGTTTCCTTTTATGTCTTTTATACTTTTTGTATTAACAGATTTTGATCAAAAGAGGGGAAAAGTGACTGGGGGGAGGATGTCTCAGGTGTGCTTTGCTATGGACTTCCAAGAGAGAGGAAGAAAGCTCTTAAACTGGGAGGCCAGGTTTAATTAGAACAAGTAGAACTGAGGCTCCTTAAAATAGACCAATGGTGTTTTATTCTGGAGACCAGAAATAAAAGGCTTTGTGAAAATCACTTAACTCCTGTGCCCTTCCAGGGAGGAAGGCCTGCGTTCTTAACCTCTCTGTCATTTTTCCTCTCTTGCAGCACAGTCACTCTTCTCTTTCACTGTGGGAAAGGTCTGTGGCTCTTGCCCCAGAGTCATGCTGTGTGTCTGCTTGCTGTTCTCCCCAGCAGTCTCCCAGTCTCTGGTGGGCTTGCTGTTAGCTGTGCTCACCTTCCCTGTGCCTGCCCTGACCTCCTCTCTGAAAGTTTTTCATTCACAGGCATGTTCACTCCTTCTCTTCCTCCAGAAAATCCCTCCTGATTTACAGCAGTGAACAGCTGGGAAAAGCTCTTGTCCATGTTGCTTAGCTGTGGTCTCTTAAAGGAGAGGATCTTAACAGCCTGGAAACAACTCCAGCAGATAGTGTTTGGTGCCAGAGAAACAGCACTGTTGGGGGAGCAGAGAAGGCAGCTCTTTTCTGCCTTCGTGCAGGAGTTCATCCTGGGAGTGTGGTTTGCTTTGAATGGTGGAGCATTTTAGTTTTTGCACCATCCATAAATGCAGTGCCAGCCTGGCAAAAGCTGACAAAGAGGATTTGCTCTTTCCACAGCACTCTTGTCCATGTCCTACTCTCCCATCCCCCATATGCAAATACACGTGGTGGAGAATATCCATTGCTGTTTCTTTCTTCCAGGAGTTGAAGTACTGCCCAGTCAGCGTGGCTTTCCCTCCCTTACAAACTTCTCATTTGCCTCTTATCCTTCTTCTATTTGGGATGTGCTGTTTGGGATTTTTAATGTTCATCATTCCTTAGTCTGTTTTATCCCACAGTAAAATATTAAGATTTATGTAGGTTGTATAAACCCCTCAGTGTTTTGTTCAGGTAATTTCCTGTGTGTGAGAGCTGAACTCTGTCTAAAGATTGCTGTATTTTGTCCCTGTTTGCTACTTTGAAACACTCCTTCAGTGTGTGTTTCTTGGCATTTGCTGGTCCTTCAAATCAGAAAGTCGAGGGGATGAAACTCCACAAGTGTATCCTTAAGAAAGATGCTGATCCAGCCTTGATTCCCTGGAGGTGTCCAAGGAATGGCTGGGCTGGGCTGGTTGACAAGGTGGTGATCAGTCACAGGCTGGACTTGATCTTGGAGGTCTCTTCTGACCTAAACGATTCTGGGATTTTAGGATCATGCTGGCTTTGTATTCAGGAGCTGAGTATCTCCTGCCTCCTTTGCTGGAGCACTGCCAGGGCTCAGGTTGGTGCTATTAACAGGCTGATATAACTTCTTGACACTTGAGTCGTTCTCCCTCCAGAGACCATGACCCCCTTCCAAGGCCATATCCAGTTCAGGAAGCCTTTTCTCGTTTCCTCTCAAGTTTTCTGCCCACGATCCAGACTCAGATTCTGATTCCTGCAGCTCCTTGGGTGAGGAAATGCAGCACTGCAGGGTTTTTGGGCACAAATGCCAACGCTTGTGCTTGTAGTACTTGTGCCCATCTCAGCCTGGTTTGTGCGTGTGTGAGCACAAACCTCCAGCCTCTGGGGCCAAAGCAAACCTTGGCATTCCTGGTGTCAGAAGGATTCTTCCTGTTTGGATAGGCTGTTCAGAGTAACTGGTGGAACCAGAGGAACCACCATCCACATGGAGAAGTGAAAGCTGGTTCTGTGCTGCTTTCCCAGTGGAGCTCTGGTGGTCACTGGAGAAAGCCTGGGTTCATCCAGTGACTGTACTGGGGAATGCCTCATTCTTAATGCCATCTGACAGCTGCTGCTTGAGCTCTCCTTCAGTTTTGGGACAGAATTCCTGGGTTTTCAGAGCTGGTTCGACAATTATTAGAGCATTCCTGCAATTCCTGTGTGCAGGAAGAACTTCCTTGAATCTTAATGAAAATGTGTTTGGGTACACGGCTGGAGGTGATCACACTGTGAACAGTAAATTTGTTGCTGATTAGAAATGTTCTTTGAGATTTACAGTTCATGTGTGTATCCACTTTATGCCCACTATCCCTTCTCAGGAGGGGACCCTCGGGATCACACTTTGAGCCTGTGGTTGAAGGGGAACTGAAGAGATCTGGGTGTGTTTCACCTCATGTGCCTGAAGGTGGGATTTGTGGCAGTGGAATTTTAATTACCTCACTAAGATCCACTGTTGATTACAAACCTGATTCTATGAAAAGAAATAAAAGGCCTTTTTTTTTAAACGCATGATTTGTCCTAATACAGTGATTCCAGAAAGTCATGTTCTCTTACAAGGGAGAAGGGAAAAAGACCATGGAAGTAGAAAGAAATTACAGAAGAGGAAGTGTGTTTTAAAACCACAATGCTGTATGGAAGCTGGGCTGATGCAGAGTTCTGTATCACATTGTTTACCTGCTCTGAGATTGCCACTGCTACTGGAATTGGTGCCTACTTTTATAAGAAGAGGTACACAGTGTTCCATCTTGACAGTGTGGAGTGGTTTTGAATATAAACACATCAAAACATAGAGAATTGGTCAGCTCAGTAAAGTGAAATACCAGGGAACTTTGTGTCCATCCAAGTTCTTGATGGTGAGATGTTTGTGCACCCGTAATGCCCAGACGTGCAGGAAGATTTTGCCTTTTGGGATAGGGACAAGGCAGAACCATCTTCCTATGGGAATATAGAGTGTCTATCATTTTAAAGGGTCATAATGACTGTGTTACCCTATAGAAATGTGTATTACTCTGTTTCTAGAAAATTGGTCAATGAACTCCCATCTCTGTCAGAGGTTTTAGCAGACTGACAATCCCTGATCCATTTGTTCTGTTGATGGTGGAGCTCAGCAAGGGGCAAGAGAAACAAAACTATCTTTTTTTATCTCATGTATCTGACCATTGAAAGATTAATTTTAACCGTGGGACAGAAGTGTCTGAACTTGTTGCCTCAGCAAGAAAACTGTTGGTCATTCAGGTGCAGCAAAAAGAAGCCTCCTGCTCGTTCTGGGGTGCAATGACTCCTGTCCCTTTGGGGTGACTGGGGTGCACTGGCAGGTCTTCAGTAATCAACTGGTCCTGCAGACCACTGTTCTTGGGAGGCAGACTAGCAGGGAAGAGATCAACCTCTTCAAACACTCAGCAGTCCTGGGCAGGAAGATAGGCAATATTCTGAGGTGGGGGTTGTGCCTCCCTGCAGACACTCTGCTCTCATCTGGACTCAGGCTGCTTGTTCTTCAATCCACTGATACTCTGCAATTCTGCTTTTTCATTACTCACTCTTCAAGAAGCCCTTTTGGGTCAGGTCATCTGTGCTGATACAGCTGTGACTGTTAACTGGTAGAGTAGGAACAAAAGGAGAACTTGGCTTGGGAAACAATTCTTTGACTGGGATGAAAACACCACTTCCAACAAGATTTTCTTTGGCATGGCCTCTGTATTTTTTTGCAGATTGACTGAACTAATTGTTTCCTATTTGTGACCCAAGAATTGTTTCAGCAAAACCTGTCTGCTCTGTGGATGTGTTCACAGGAGAAATGGAAGGCTGAATTCCAGCTGTGTGCACTGGAAGCAGAAGTGGCTGTGTTTCCTTCATTCACCCTTTTTCCTTTTATTGCTCTTTTTCTTGTCCTGGCAAGGCCAAGACAAACAGATTCAGCAATTCCTCTTTGTTTAAGGCTTGCTATAATCATTATCAAGTGGCAGAGTCCCCATCCTCCTCCATCAAACACCAGCCATGGTGTTTCCTACTTGATCTTTTGTGCTTCACTCTCCAGAAGAAAAAGCAAGCTCTTCAAAAGCTGATGTGCAGGGACAAAGCTTGTTGCTGGAGCAGCGACAACTTGTGCCAGGGAAGCTTTTGTTCACCAAAAAACCCCAAGATTGCTGTTGTTAGCCTGTGGAATTTTCTGGGGAGTTCCTTCTCAAAGGTCAGAAGTAGAACGGGCTACAAATGATGTATTCTGTCACTTTAATGTGATTTTCTTTAAATGTAGTACACAGGCTTTGGGCAGTAGTGGTCAGCACTGAATTATTTCCTCTCTTACCTCCCCAGTGTAATCCTATTCTTCCTATATTCTATTTATAAGTGCTTTTAATGGCTGATTTTCCTTAGGTAGCTTTTCTGTGTTAACCTATTTTCACAGGGCATAATCAAAGTGATTCTTGGGACAGTTTTATGTTTGTCCGTGAGATTAATTCAGGCTGCAAATCACAGGCATTTAAGTGCTTTTGTAGTCCCATATCTACCCCTGCTAGGGGAGAACATTGCAGGCTGTGGATGTGCTTAATTTTGAAAATCAGGTTTCTACATTTGTGTCCAGGAAGGTAGAAAAAGGTGCTCAATCTGTGCTGGAGAAATGACACGTTAAGGAGGCTGCTTCTCTTCTGCACAGTTATGAGCTGTACCTTAGACTGGAGATCTCTGCAGGTTTGCAGCTGTCAGGCAGAGCTCAGGCCTTGGTACAGGAGTGTGTCCAGAAAGAGTGGATGCTGGAAGTAAAAACATTGGATTTTACAAGCTGATACATCCCAGCATCACCCTGTAGTTAACTCTGATTCACTTCAGCAGCCATAATGCAACCCAGATTTAGGTGGCCCTTTCCAGGAGAAAACCATATACAGCTCACCCAGGAATTTTCTCTTTGAAAGGAATATCAGCACTCACTTGTGAGACAGAAGACTAATTTATGCTTGGGAAATCTGCTCTACCTTTTGTTGTAATATATAGAGACAGTCATAGAACTCTGACTGTTTTCTCCCATTGGACTCCTGTTTCTGTTAGGGATGAGAAACAAAGTCTTAAGTGTACAAAACCTGTAATATGAAAATATAATACTAAACAGGCTTGAATTCATAGAATCATAGAATGGTTTGGGTTGCAAGGACCTTAAAGATAAGGTCCAATAAACAAAAGGGTTTGAGTGGCTTGTGTTTTAAACTCTTGTTTTTAAATGTTTTAACAGAGGAACTTCTCAATACTTTGTTCCAAGATTAGAATAGATCCACAAGGGTCATCAAATCCAACTTCTGGGTCTGCACAAGACCATCCCCAAGAGTCCCACCCTGTCCCTGAGAGCACTGTCCAGAACCCTCCTGGAGCTCTGGCAGCCTTGGGGCTGTGCCCACTGCCCTGGGGAGCCTGTTCAGTGCCAACCACCCTCTGGGGGAAGAACCTTTCCCTGAAATCCAACATAACCCTCCCCTGAGACCACTTCAGTACCCTGGGGTCCTGTCCCTGGTCCCCACAGATCAGTGTCAGTGCCTGCCCCTCTCCCCCCCTCAGGAGGGAGGTGTAGACCGCAATAATCCCGCACCATTAAGGTCAGGCTCGCGCCTCACAGAGGTGACGCTGAACTCTCTGCTCTCTCAGTCCCAGATGCAAACCCAGGTGCAGCAGGTGGGGATCGTCCCGACGCAGGCCATGGCCACCGGTCCGACGGCGGACCCGGAGAAGCGCAAACTGATCCAGCAGCAGCTGGTCTTGCTGCTCCACGCCCACAAGTGTCAGCGGCGCGAGCAGGCCAACGGCGAGGTGCGGGCCTGCGCCCTCCCGCACTGCCGCACCATGAAGAACGTCCTCAACCACATGACGCACTGCCAGGCCGGCAAGGCCTGCCAAGGTGAGGCCACGGGGCTGAGCCCGCTCTGCAACACCAGCTCTGGGGGTTTTCTGGGGGGGTTTCCACCACAAACTGGTGCTGGAATTAAAACAGCTGTTCCCTGGTTTGCACTTCTCAGTTTAAAAAAAAAAAACCCAATGCAATATTTGCCTTTTACGAGAAGGATAGTGCCAGGGTAGACTTGCAAGCATCTTTTTCATCCCATCTGTTGTATAAAGAGGGTGTGCTATTCACCACATCTTCGTCTTAGATTTTAGTACCAGTTTCTTCCATTGTTTTCTTGACTCATCCCGAAAAACTTCAGTTGTGTTTAGCTGTGTTTAGTTATGTGCACAGTGTTGCTTGTGAAGGAGAAAGAATAGAATTGCTCTTAAAAATGAGATTGAGTTAATTGAAAACCAGCTAACCTGGTTAACAGTGACCTTAACTCCGTTGCTCTTCCTTGCTGCAGTTGCTCATTGTGCATCTTCGAGACAAATCATCTCCCACTGGAAGAATTGTACCCGGCACGACTGTCCTGTGTGCCTTCCTCTGAAAAATGCCAGTGACAAAAGAAACCAACAACGTGAGTAGTTCTCTTACTGCTGTCACCACTGAATGATGCTATTAAAGCTCATCAACTGTGCAGTGTAGGAATGAACTTTGGTAGTGTCCTAACAAAATTAGTAGCTGGTTAACTTGCAGAGGGATAAATTTACTAGTGAATTCTCCTTTCTGATCATTGAAGGCAATTTACTACTGAAATACACAATAATTGGGAAAGTCTGAGCTCAAGCACCCATCTGTTTTTAAAGGATGTGGCAACTTGTAACTGGTGCTTCATTGTGGGGCAGATCCATAGATTCCAGTTATGAGGCATAAAGTTTTGGATATAGGTACAGTTGGGGGAAGGAGATAAGCTACTTGATTGTTTTTCTTGCTGCTAGGAACAAATTAACGTGCTGGTGATTCAAAACAATCAAAAATGTTTGAAAAAGCAACTTGCATACAAGATGATGTGATCTGGATGTCTTAATCACTAAGTGTACTTATTGCTGGTATAGATTAGCTAAAGCCCTGCAAATCATAGTGCCCAGGCCTGGTTTTTATAATAGCTGAGCTGTTACTGTTGCTTGTGGCAAGTCCATTTCCAGTGTATTTTTATTTCCCTCTTGCTCTGAAACAGAAAATACTGAACTTATGTTGGTAGGTTTGCCTCTCATCAAATCCTTTGAAAAGATGCCAGGGTGGAACATTTTACAGCATCCACACTGCAGTTCTAGGAGTCTTAAGTAATGTTATGCCTGAGTATATTTAAATGAGGGTTAAGGAGTGGAAAATGGCTGGAGAAGTTGCAAAGCTTGTACATTGGAATTGGCTTGGAAGCATTCTGCTAATTCCCAGTTAAGATGAGTCTGCAGTGAGGAGCACCAGTAAACCTTGGAGGATGGAGAACTGGTCCTAGATTAGGTGGGATTAAGACAGAGGATAAAGTATCTGGAAAAGCTGGCAAAATTATCCATTGAGCATTACTCTCTTTACAGTTTCAGGAGGGGTGTTTCCCCTCCAAAACAGAAAAAATTACACCTGTAGAGGTACTTGGAGGTCAGGATTTTGTTTGTGTTTTACCAAACTTCTTGATAAACAAGTCTTGTGTGTTGAAAATAGTAATTTGTGGCAAGTGCTTAGTTGTTTGGTCCTCAAAAAATGTGTTGAAAGCTTTGCTTTTTAATTTGTGCATAACATCCTTATTAGACAGTTGTTATCAAAGGACTAACAACACCTAGCACAACAGAATTGTATTTTTCAATACAATTGTATTTTTCAATACAATTTTTCAATACAAGCTGCTGTAGAAAAGTAGTTTGTGCAGTATTTTTGTTGTTCATACAGCTTATCAAAAGAGAACAAAAACTTGAACACAGGCAGTCCTCAAAAATAATTTTGTTATGGGATGTTGTTTGGCTGCAACAGAATTATAATGGGTAAGGGTAGAATTTGGCTCTTTTGTTGCATATGGAGGGAGATAAATATGAAATCTCCTTCTAATCAATTAATCAATAACTACAGTGGTACAGGGTTCTTGGTCCTGGATTATGTCTCTGAGTCATACACCCAGCAGCTCCAGGTGAAAGAGGAACACTCAAATACTTTAGATCTATTACAAAGGGTACCCCTCTCTGGGCAGTCAGAAAGGTCTGTGAAATTATTCACCATTCATATGTGCAAATGGTGAAAATGCTGTGCCTGCTCAGGTGAAAACTAACCTCAGTTGTGTTAGTTTAGGACTGGAAGAAAACGTTGGGTGTCTTAGGAATAAATAATCACAGAATCTACTAAATTGGAGGGAAGAGGGGGTCTGCATTTGGCAGAATGTGATAAGAACATTTAGAAAGGGAAAAAGAAATGAGAAGTGTAGAGATCCTCATTCCCTTGTCAGGCTGCCTTTCTTCCACAGGGTCTGGAGCCCTCCTTCCTGTGCCCATCCCTGCTTTGCCCTGTTATTTCAGTCCTGGTGTGTCTGTGCTGGGTTTTCAAGCAGCTCCTTCAAAGATTGCCCATCTTTTTGAAAGCTCTGCAGTTGAGCCCTGCTGAACCACTGCAGTGGGTGCCTCACTTCCACCTGCAGCCATTCCTGTGCCTTTGTAGCTCTCTGTTCCCACTCCGTGGGGATCTGTGTGCTGCAGAAAGCCCTGGGGTTTGGGTCATTGCCATGGATCTGTTTCTCTACAGGTCTTTCAGTGTTTAGATTTTTTGCAAAGAACATCTCTGCCAGGTTTCTTCTGTGTAGCTTTTTTTTATGTTTTTTTTAAAGCATTGTATTTTATTACAATGGTTGATAGTGACCTGACTTGTAAATAGGACATACTGGGACAAGTTTAAAATTCTTTCTGTTCCTCGTGGTTCTTGTTGTGTGACCCATGTACCTCTGAGGGTGCTGGGGAACGGGAAAACAAGTGTTATTTTGCACATGCTGAAACACAAAGCTTTTCTTTTGAATGAGCAGGTGACTCCTGTGTTTTGAACTAATGGCTTGAAATGTTTTGGGGCTGGGGCGTTGTTTCTACTGGGAAGTACCTGCTCCCTGCTTAGCCCACAATTTGAATTATAGACTCTTGCAGATAGCTGTTGATATGCTTCCTAGTTTTGTAGCTGTGCCATAACAGTTTGGGGGTGTTTTTTTTGAAGATTTCATCTTATCATGCACATGCTTGAACTCTCCTTAGTTCTTCCATTCCTGACCTGGGCTGGTGTGTTGTGCCACAGCTCCTGGGCTTTTCTTCCTGTCCCAGCTGTACAGGTGGTGATCTGTGTGCTGTGCTCATGTCCTGGGCCATCGCTGGGCAGTGCTTTGTGTGCTTCGTTCCAGGATCAGGGGGCACTGGAAATGCCCTGCTCAGCTGAGTGACACTGCAAGGTGGAGTTGGGAACACGGGACTGGTTTCCTCTGTGGTTTTTCTTCGTAGGAAATTTTTTAATGAAATGCAGCAAGGAGAAAGCTTGATTAAGAAAAATTAAATTTGAAACCATTGATTTTCAGCTAAAAACATGATTTTAAAGAATACTGAGCCAGAAATTCTGGAGTATGTGGACTTGGGGATGAAGAGTGGGAACCTGATGAGGGAGATGGAAATAGGGACCAGGAGCTAAGTGTACAGGCAGAAAATGGAGGAAGGCCTGGATGTGGAGCGTTTGAGAACCAACCCTTTGCAGAGAAGGAAGGAGTGCATTGGTGCACAAGGAGTTGTATCCAGGAGGAGGAGTCTCAGCTTCTTCAGTAGAGCCTGTTTCCTGTGAAAACTGAAAATGCAATCCAGCTTGCTCAAGTCTTACTGTCACTAACTCTGGCATCTGCAAACAAAACGTGTTTCTTGTTTGTTCAGTTGCTGGAAATCACATATATAATGGTGACCTATCAGTTATGCCATGGAGCCATTATGGGTGGTTAGCCCATGGATTAAGGAATTCCATTCACAGATTAACATGGTGCTGTACTGTGAAGCTTTGGGTTTAATGCTTAACTTAAATAAGCATTAACACAGCACTGGTGCTCAAGTTTAATATTGACACTTCCTACCTTCAAGTTCCTCGTAAAATCTTCACCCCATGATTTGATTCAAGGTACAGCCTTTAATTAAATGGTGGTGTCCACTTACCTTTGTGTACCTGCCTGATTCTGGGTGCAGGACAGGCTTGTGCTGAGGTGAGTCCAAGTCACCACCAGCAGAATTTTTGCTCCAGCCACTTTGAGCTGGAATGGATGTAACGAGAGGAGGGAGGAGCTGTGGGACAGAACAAATCTCAATCGCAGAATTCAGAAGCAAAATCAAAAATTTAAACCACACTTTTCAAAAATGGAGTAACGTGTTCACTGGACTGGTCAGGTTAGGAGAAGTGCCAAGCATTTATGCTTAAAATAGAATTAGGAGTCTGGGTTTAAAATAAATTTTAATTAGCTGGAGGGATTTCCCTCTAAAGCTAAAAGATGTGAGTGCTTCACACTTGCAGCTTCTGTCATGAGCTCATCAATGCCTGAAGCATCAGTTAATAGAAATAAATTGCAGTCGACGTTGTTTCATGTGGCAGTGGCCTAATGTGATAACTCCTGTTTGTTCCAGGGCTATATTTGTTTTAATTTACTGTATTTCCCGCAGTATCTGCCTCAGAAAGGACAGCATTTGCCTTGGTCTGTCCAGAATGGAAATGTAATACTCTCTGCCTCCATCTTCTTGTTTGACAGATGGAAAGAATGTCATGCCTTCCTGTAAAATCAGTGAGCAAACAGACAAAAAACCCTCTTCAAAATCAGATTCCTGCTGTTGGAAAATGCTCGACGTAGTGTCCTATTAATTGAGTAGTGAAGGGTAGAAAAGCTGAGGCCAAATAGTCTAAAGCTGTTCTAACACAAGGCCTGAGCTCGTGCTGTGGTTGTTCTGCCACCTCCACATTTACAGCCAACACTGAAAGCACTGGGGCTGTTTGGTTGTAACTTTTCCAGAGGAATACCTTCCTCTAACAGGCTGGAATTCTTATTAGCTCCTGAATCGATCCATGCTGTCCCAGCAGCCTCTGAAGCCTTTTGAATTCCAGGGTGCCAAAAGTTTTGTGGTATTTACCCTTCCTGGAGACTTCCTATTCCTTGGCTTGCACTTGTGTAAGGCATTTTCTCTTAGATGGTGTCATTCCAGAGTGCTGTGTGCAAGTCCAACAAGGAATTCATATAGCTACTCTTTATTATGTCCTTTTTTTTGTTTTAATTAAGCTGATAGGATCGTAATCAGCTTCTGACTTTGTTTTTAAAGTCTCTCAGAAATGATCACTGAGTTCAGAAGTTATTGTGAATGAGCCCACAGAGTGTAAGTGTACGTAAGCCTAATTTCCATGGTAAGCCCAGTGTTAAAAATACTGTGGATTGTCCTTTGGGGAAAAAAAGGATGTTTTCTGTGGGGCTGCTTATTCTGGAGAGGGACATCTCTGACTACAGTTATTTGTAGTTCCTTGGCAAATGGGATCAAATCAAATTCTCATCTGGAGAGAGAAAAGTCTGGACTCTGTAATGTGTGTGTTTTCTCTTGGGTGGAAGCTGAAAGCCTGTGTATCTCTTTCAGTGATTCTCTCAGTTTCCATAGTGGGTAAGGATTTAAAAAAGCCTGGATAATGCTGTTAATGTCTCAGAAGGCTTGTTTTCCTGAGTTTTTTATCTAACCACGTGGCCCTCCTAATATTTCAATAAAACAGTTATTGTTGCCTGTATTAAAAGCCATTAGTGTTGCTATGTTTAGCTCACAAATTTGTAATGCACATTACGTGTTTAATTACTTGAGGGGGAAAATGTGAAGGATTAGTTACTTCTACCAGAGTCTCAGTTATCAAAATGCAGTGTCTCTGTACTGAAGGATATAATACTCCAGGGGTCAGCCACAGTGGAACATGTTATCACTTAGAATGGCAGCTAAAATGAGGTCCAGAAAGCAGAATTTTATTCTCTTCTGGGTTGAGTAAACACTGCTTTCCCCTGTTGTTTCCATTACCTGTGCACAGTGGAAATGACTCTTCCATACCTGTGTGTGGTGAGAGAGGCTGGTTGGTCATGGTGGTCATATAGGTCAGTACAAACTGACACCCATCAGGGTTTTTCCTGTGTCTGAATAACTGGGCTTTAGGGTAGTTTGGCCTTCAGAGGATTCGCGCAGTGACTGCTCGCCATGAAAATTTCTACCAACAGATCTTCAGTATTACCTTTGTGTCCAAGGACACAGTATTTCTGCTGAACTCAGGATCTCTGTTCTGGAGCCAAATATTTTGACCTAAAATGGGATTGATGGGAAAGAGGGAAGTAGAGGAATTAATTATTTTTTTTCCCCTTAGCCTACTGTCCCAAGCATGAAAATCCTATTTAGCCTCATCTAGGAGCCTTATCTTTATATCTGTTACAGTAATTATGGACTTATCTGCCTGAAATACACAGCCCTCCTCTTTAGACTGCATGGATTAATAGTTAGGGTGGTTTCTGTCCTGTAGAATCCATGACTGAGTTTCCCCACTTGGGATCTCAGGTGTCATTCTGTCCTCTGGCAGGAAAAGATATTTAACATAGAAGTATATGCATGTCTGGTGATTCTTGGCATGATTAGTTGTATTATTTATCCTCATCGGTTTTCAATGTTCTCTTATCCCTTTTTTTTTTGTTTGTTTATATAGCCCTTTTAGGGTCTCCAGCTGGTGGAATCCAGAATTCCATCGGTTCTGTTGGCACAGGCCAGCAGAACACTCCAGCACTAAGTAATCCCAATCCGATCGACCCCAGCTCCATGCAACGAGCCTACGCTGCCCTGGGGCTGCCCTATGGGAACCAGCCCCAAACACAGCTGCAGCCCCAGGTACAAGGCCAGCAGCCAGCACAGCCCCAGGCTCACCAGCAAATGAGGACCATTAATGCACTGGGTAGGTGGAGAAAATACCAAGAAACCGAGTGTTAAAATAATTCCTGTTGAATTTTTAGGGTAGTCTGGTATTGTGCTTGGTTGGAGCAGTGACACTATTTGTATTCCATACTGATCATTTATGTTTGAATGGTAGAGAGTTTTGAGTATGCTGCTTTTGCCAAATAGCAGGAGTTTTGGTTTCTCCTAAAATATAGCTCAGAGCTTGATGTTGCCTGAGGTGATGAGACACAATTGCTGAAGAATTTTGCTTTAACAGTTGTCACCTGTTCTAACAGACAACTCTGTCTCAAATGCTCCTCTCTTTCTGCAGCTTGTTAGTATTCTCTTCTTTTTAGCTTATTGATCTAATAGTAAGAGTTTATGAATTTAAAATTTTAATACCTCATTTTCGTAGTTTAGACTGAAAGTAACTTTATTGCATAAATAGCTATGCGTGTGCACCACAGCAGGTATTATTGTAGAAATACTTACCTGATACACTGATATACTTCTTCCATTAACCACTTGGGCCAGTAAAGTATAGTTTTGTCATATTATTGTCAAAATTGTGAACTCTCTACCAATGATGTTTAATTTTGTCCCAAAGGAGCCAACCAGATGAACCTTCCTGCAGGAGGAATAACAACAGACCAGCAACCCGGTCTAATTTCTGAAACTGCTCTTCCAACATCCCTTGGGACAAATAAGTAATGCACACATTTTCATTCTCGCTCAATTAAACATTTATTTACATGCTTATAAATAAGGAACTGCTTTAAAAACTGGTTGTGTTGGCATGGAAATGGTCAGTGACATCTACAGCTATGCTCAATCTAGAGCTGCTGCTTTGTGCCTCCTGAGAGCTCCACAATATTTAGTAGTTTTAAATGAGTTTCCAAAGGCAGAACATTTTGTGGTTTTAAGTGTACCAAATACCTTTACCAGTTGTGATTCTTTATCATTCACCCTGTGCCTTGTAAACTCCTGAGCTTTGCTGCTTTTTGCTGCCGTTTGTCGATAGCAAACTTTCACTTAAGGAATGTTTGATACAGCAGCTAAAAAAATAATGAAAGCAATGACTGAAAAATAACTTCAGGCATCAAACCTACGACAAAACTCTGCGTTCTTGTAACAACCCCTCTTGCTTTTGGTGTTGTTTTAGCCCACTAATGAATGATGGCACAAATTCTGGCAATGTTGGAAACCTCAGCTCAATGCCCACGGCTGCACCTCCTTCGAGTACCGGGGTAAGGAAAGCATGGCATGAACATGTCACTCAGGACCTGCGCAATCATTTAGTGCATAAACTGTAAGTATTCACCAAGGCTGCCCTTTTTTCCTGAATGTTTTTAAAGAGTTTCAATACAGTAGTTCTATTATTAAGCTGGGGGAAAAAAAAAAAAAGTTGTCAGTAATGGTGCTCTGGTGCTGGGCCACTGAGGATGAGCTGTTATCTTTAATGCTCCTCTTCAGTTCTTCCTCCTCGTTAAGGAGCGGGCATGAAATTTGTTTATATTACAAGTAAATGTGCTCTGCTCTACTGAACAGGTATTTAAACTCCTGACTGTTAAACCTCACTTTATTTTCATCATTGCTTTAATCTGGTGAGAAATAATAAAATATTGGGGTTTTTTGTTTTGTTTTTAGCACGTTTGATATGTTTTTACATACCTGGTGTATAAGGGAATGTCCAGGATGACTGTAATAAAGCTGTATTGATTTTTGATTTTTTTCCTGAAGGATTTTTCTTTTGTTCTCCCTCCTTCCTTGCAGTGTCCAAGCCATCTTCCCCACTCCTGATCCAGCAGCACTGAAGGATCGACGCATGGAGAACCTGGTGGCTTATGCCAGGAAAGTGGAAGGAGATATGTATGAGTCTGCTAATAGTAGGGTATGTTGCCTGAGTCCATTCAGTAGCTGTTAAAAAACTGTAGGATCACTAATCTTACAGGTGTAGTGAAAACCACAGAGAATCATTTCACTGCTCCCTCGATGAGGAAAGTCGTGTTTTCTGTCTGTGACAGTGTTTGTACAGTCCAAGACAGATGATTAATGTCACTCCGAGCTAATTCAGCTCCCTCAGCTCCATGAAAACTACACAGCATCATAGCCCAGCCCCACCTGCATTCCTCCTGAGTGTGATTGACAAAGCTTGGAGCACAGCTTGCAGTTCTTGGTCTTTCCCTTACTGACTTCTTCCCTTTCTGGAAGTCTGTGTAAACAGGAGTTTTAAAACTTCCTTAATGTTTCCTTACTGTTGGAGGTTTTCTGTAGGGCCCAGAGCTGTTCCACAGCTTACCTTCTACCTGCACTGCTGGAATTAGTTCTCCTCCACTCAGCAGGACCTAAAAGTGGTTTGGCAAAGACATAGGAAATCAGTTGGCCTGCCTTTGTCCTTGTGCATGGAAACAAGACAGAATTCCTGTTCATGTTCATGATTTTCACTGTCTGCAAAGAGGTGCCAGTTCCGACCTCTCCTGCTCAGAGGGAGCAAACCCCTGCTGATTGACAGGCTGAGGATATGACACTGTGGTGATTCTACCCTAAAGGAACCACTCCCTGAAAGCTTTCATTTAAAAAACGATGTCAGTAGTGCCAGTAATAACAGCCAGTGAGATCTTAGCAGATTAGAATCCTGAGATCCTTCCTTAAGTAAGGGAGGAGTATCTGAAGAGAGTGGTTAGTGGCATTTCAGGTGACAATTATTCAGCAAGGCACTTCCTCTGCCTCTTTCAGCCCATTTCCCAGAAGAGCTGAAGGTGGAAGGCAAGTTTTATTTCCTAGAGATAAATATACTGGCCATACTTGCAGTGCTGCTGCTGTGGCAGTGTTGGGCAGTGAGCACGTTGTATCCCTCTTGTAGCTGCTGAGAGGTCGTTTACAAGGAAGGCTGGAGTGTGATCACCCTTGGTCACCCTGGCAGCTTTAGAGACCAATTTTAGGGAGAAGGAGGATTCAGGGACATACATGGGAGTCGAAATACCTTCTCAGTAAGGATGAGCATAGTAAACTCCTGGTTATAAAATTAAATGTCTTCTGACAGACAAACACCCAGAACTGTCTGCTCTTCACCCCTCCAAACAGCTGTCAGAGCCTCATTGCCAGAAGCTGCTGTTACTGGAATTCATCTGATGTTTTTGGCTCCAAGCAGCAAACTTGGAAGAAGGGAGTAATTCAGAATTTACTGATGATGCCATGAGGAATTACATCCTTTTTGAGGAGCTTCCCTTCTACTTTGACATTGCAAACCATATTAGTAAGAGGCATCATTGCAAGCAGTTTGACACTGTTCTAGTGGTGTGTGCTCCTTGTGAACACAGCCTTTTTGGGAATCTTTGCAGGAGGAAAGTAGCACAATCATAAATTTACAAGTAGGAAGTTAGAGGTGAAGTGGCTTGAGCAGGAGGAGAGAAAGGGCTGTAGAGCTTTTGTGCTGGACAGCAGAAAGTGTCTGCACTGACTTCTGAGACATTTGGAGGAAGGAAATTATCTAAAACCAAAGCTTTATATTGCATCACTGGACTTCCTTAAGGAGGCTACTGAAGAATACCTATCTCCTGGTTGTGATGAAAATTGAATAAAGACGTAATGACTGTGGGACAAGCATCCCTCAACCTGTACTCTGTGTAACACTGGGTTTTGAGAGCGTAGCTGACCCCACAAAAGAATTGTAGTCTTGAGGGTTTGTGAGGTTTTTTTGCCTTTAATGGGTGCATAATCTCATGCACTTGGCAGTTACTGACAAGCAAAATTGTCTACCTGGTGTGCACTGTGACTGTCGTATTGGATCTGTTGTTGTTGTGGGTTGAGTGAAATGGATTTTTCATCTTTTGCAGATGTAGTGTTTAGTTGTCTGTGCCTGTGGACTGTTTTTTCAGTAAATTTCCTCCATTCCTTTGAGGTTTTTCTGGTTTTGTTTATCCTTTGCCATGATTGCTGATAGCCAGACTCTTCAGGAAAAGAGCAGTTCTTTTATGTAAAAATTGGTCTGTTCTTAACATCTGTCTCCTGAAGTTTATTCAGTGTAACTGTGCGCTGGGAATATCTTTTTCTTTTGTCTGTGGATTAGTAAAAATGTTTATTATGAAACTAACATTTAGAAATCATTAACATTTAAAAACTAAACCCCAGCTTCCTGGCTTTTGTCGAAGCAAGAGAGAACCTCCAGCCTTCTCCTTTGCTAGTCTACTCAGAGTAGGTCTGAAGGATAGCCATAAAGCAAGTGTGTTTTCTGGTATCTTCATTTTTCCTTTTCTGCATTAAAACAGGGATAATTCTGAGAAGAAATATTTCTTTTTCAAACAGATATTAAAACAAAAAACCCAGATGATGGTATTCAGGTAGTAAACGAGACTAAATGAGTTCTGCTGCCACTTCTTTACACTTGATGCTGAGTATTCTTTTTTTTTTTTTTTTCCCCCTTTGTAGGATGAATACTATCATTTATTAGCAGAGAAAATCTATAAGATACAAAAGGAGCTGGAAGAGAAGCGGAGGTCTCGTCTCCACAAACAAGGGATGTTGGGGAACCAACCAGCCTTACAGACCCCAGGGCCCCAGCCCCCCGGGATCCCCCAGGTGGCTGCTGCCATGGGCCAGGCACAGCCCGTCAGGCCACCCAGTAAGTACTGCTGGGGGTGCCTCTGCGCTTCCCAGGCTCTCCAGGTTGTATTTTAAACTGATTTCGCTGACCTTTCTTCTGCTGTGTTGCAGATGGGCCAATGTCCATGCCAACCGTGCCTATAAGTCGTATGCAGGTTTCTCAAGGTATTTTCTGATTTCCTCTCTAATTGCAAATTGTGGGTTTAAAATAATTTTATTGGGGGGGAGGGGGAAGCTGATCTTATGTTGGGTTTTTTTGGAGTTGGGATGGAGGAAGAACTACTGGGTCTTCCTTTTTGCAGCATCATTCTGGTTGCTGTGTGGCAGGGTCTGTCTCAAAGTGCAGTCTTAAGAACCAACAATATGTACCCAGCACTTTCCTAGCAATTGGGAATTGATTCAGTCCTTCCAGAGAGGACAGTTCAAGCAAGAATACTGTGGAGAATCTCATTTCAAATGCTGTAAAGGGGAAGGATGTTGGCATTTCTTCTTCATCAGTTAATTAGCAAAAAATATATCTGTAGCTGGAAACATAGCAAATTAATCCTAGAATGTTTGTAACTAATGATATCCTTTCTTGGTTTCTGATGCATTAAAGTGCATTAAAAAAGTTGTTCATGGCACTTGACATCATTGATTGAAGCTGCTGTGAGCTCATGGGTGGGTTTTTTCTGAAAAATATAAACCCATGAGGTGCTCCAGCTTCCTTCAAAAACGTGTTCCCAGTTATTTTATTTCGTGGTTCAGAGTTAGTACTTGGTCGAAACTTGTGTTGAAATGTCCTTGGGAAGTTAAATCCTTTTAGAACTCATTTGAATAGGAGAACAAGTTGATAGCAAATATAGCTCCATAATTACACCTTTAGACAGGTTTGGGGTTTTTGGAGGGGTTAAATGTTTTGTATAAAAAGCACAACCCCTTTTTAAGAATTTTACTGGCTTTTGTCCTCATTTGAGGCTTGGAGTTGCCTTCATATATACAAGATGTATTTTTATCATATTTACTTCAACCCTTTCAGTGAGCCCTAAATAAGGCATTGCTGTTTCAAAGCAAATGCCTGATTTTAAGAAACCATCCCAAGGTATTATTTATAAATAGCACCGTGTCTCTGCAGATCATCCACACCCTTCATCTTTTGCACTTAATGTTTTTCTTCAGACATCCTAACTGGTATTCTTCTAAACACTTCTTGCATCCTGATTTGTCTGTGAAGTCACATAATTTGAACAAAAGCAAGAAATAAAGTGCGGGGCAGTCAAATTTCAGCCACCATAACTGTGAAATTTTATAGTAGAATAAACATAATAACCAATTCTATGACCTGTTCCTAATGACTTGTTTTGGGGGTGCATTTGCAGGAATGAATCAGTTTAACCCCATGTCCATAGGGAATGTACAGATGCCACAAGCCCCCATGGGACCGCGGGCGGCGTCTCCGATGAACCACCCGGTGCAGATGAACAACATGGGAGCCGTCCCCGCGGTTCGTACCCCTCCTTCTGCTCAAAGCTGATCCCCCCCAGCAGCCACTGCTCCTCTGAAAAGGCCATGTCACAGAGCAGTGCTGGAAATTGTAGGATAATTTCCTGGAAAGGCTTTTATTGAGGTATTTACCTGCTGTAAAAAAGCCCACCAGCCCTTTCGAGGCGTTCGTGCCAGAGGTGCAGTAATTCCCAGCTGTCTGGGGAAGAGCATCATTCCTCCAGAAGCTGGCTTTGCAGTATATACACCTCCTTTATTTCTCAGTGAAAACATGTTTTATTCTTTAGAAAAACAAAAATATTTTCAGTTTCACTGGATTTGTTCTCTGTTATCTCAGAGAACAAACACTCTCAGTAGAGTTTGGAATATTACCTGTTTAAAAATAACTCCCTCGTGAATGCTGGGGAACAAATGCTGAAGTTCCATGCATATCCCCACTTACATTTGGTTTACTGAAGCCAGTTTTCCTTTTATTTTTTTGTCCTATCTTTTGGTTGATTACATTGAGGGTATTTTCTTTTGTCTTGCTTCATAATACTCAATGGTAATGAGTTCATTTGGGTGTTAATTTTCAGATGGCAATGTCTCCTTCCCGAATGCCTCAGCCACAGAACATGATGGGAGCTCATTCCAACAACATGATGGGTCAGGCTCCCACCCAGAACCAATTCCTGCCCCAGAATCAGTTCCCTGCATCCACTGGGACAATGAATGTGAACAATGTGGGCATGGGTCAGTCAACAGCTCAGGCTGGGGTGGCACAGGTAAGATGGATTTTCTAATTAGGAGTTATTTACTCTTAATTATTTTACTCTAATGTATTTAATACGTTTGCTTATTTGTATTTCTGTATCCACTGTTCAGCACAGTCACCCCAACTTTGGGGATCCTGGGTTACATCTGCCTTTTTCAGAGGCTCTTACATAACCCATCGGCATCTGTTAACGGGGGCTGTGATTCCTGTAACGCCCTGTAATTCCTGATTTAAATTCCTTAAAAATGCATGCTGATGAGATTTTTAGGGGGAATATCAGAAATTAATTTATGGGATGTTTAGGAACATATGTTTCCTCTCTGTGTGGACCCAAGTAGCTAACTTTAAATCTGGATTTATAATGAAGTGGCTAGGGAAGATCTTCTAAAGTTTGTTTTAACCTTTCTGCTTCTGAAGAGAAAATGGTTGTTTTTCTTCCTGTGACATTTTTCTGTTGCTTTGGTAGTCAATGTTAGTAGCAGCTGTATTTATGATGTCAAGGTGTGTGCTCTTCCACAGGGAAAGTAACTCAGAGTCCAAGTAATTCAGGCTGGTTGAGTCCTCCAGAGTTCTCTAGTCCAGCCCTGTCCTCAAATGAGAGATGACTTAGATCAGGTTATGATGGGCTCTGTTGAGTCAAGTTTGGAATATCTTCAGGATGAGCATCTACAGCTTCTTGGGTCCTGGCTCAGTTGTTTGACTGCCTTTGTGGTGAACATTTTCTTCCTAATGCACTCAGTTCAGTAAAACTGACTGTGTACAGGCAATAGAGGAGTATGTTTTAAATTTGAAACCTCATCTGCAGGAAATTGTTAACTGATTTGGATTTCTAAGAGTAACAGTTACATCTGAGGATAGCATATTCTTATTTTATCACCAGTTATCTGATGCAATCTTCAGTAAAATATACAATTTAAAGGTTTAAGTACATCCAGAATACGTTATTATATTGCTGCTCTGAAAAACAAATCCACAGTTTTCTGAAGCATCTGGAGCAGTCTAATTAAAAACAAAACAAAACAAAAAAACTCCTCTTAAGTCTTGCTCTGTGCAACTGGGCAGCATTAAATGTGTTGACCTGCCCTCTAAAGCAGAGCTGCTCCAGAGTCCTGACCTAAAATGGGTATTTGCTCGAAACCATTTTGTGTCAAAGCCTGACCTTTGCCCAGCTAATGGCACGATTTAGAGGCTCTGTGCCTGTGGGTTTCTGTGTTACTGGGATGGTGGAGATTCCCTCTGTATGCCAGAATTAATGCAGGGCAAACATGGCACATCTGGGGCTGGGAGAAAGGTCTTTGAGAGCTGATGAGAGCGATGACAAAAATCAGAGCACAGTCACTTGCAACGGCAGCGTTTGTTTGTGGCTGATCTCCTGGATAGTGTTCTGTCAGAGAAGGCTTCAGTGCCGGGATTTAAAGGATAATGTGATTCCCAGGGTTTTGGGAGTCACACATGTGTAAGAGACTCTCTCTTCCTAGCAGGGGCAGGTTCCCAGTGCTGCTCTTCCCAACTCCATGAACATGCTGGGGCCGCAGGGCGGGCAGTTGCCGTGTCCCCCGGTGACGCAGCCGCCTCTGCACCAGACCACGCCTCCCGTGTCCTCTGCTGCTGGGATGCCGCCCATGCAGCACCCCACGCCGACGGGAATGACTCCTCCCCAGCCAGCAGCACCCACCCAGCCATCCACACCGGTCTCGTCCTCGGGACAAACTCCGACCCCGACGCCGGGTTCTGTCCCCACCGCGACCCAGGCCCAAAGCACCCCCACGGGGCAGACGGCAGCCCAGGCCCAGGTCACACCGCAGCCCCAGACCCCAGTCCAGCCCCAGTCTGTGCCAACCCCGCAGCCAGCCCAGCAGCAGCCAACATCTGTGCAGGCACAGCCACCTGGCACTCCAGTAAGTACCAGCCAGTCCCATTTTCCTTGTGTAGTGACATTCCATGAGTCTCCCTGTGTGTAGCACCGTAGAGCCCGTAGTTGTCAATAGCAGCTTCTACTTTAGACCAGAGGGTTCATTAGAATGTGTGAAATGTGTGTGTTCAGATGTTCTCAGCATTGTCTGAAGGAGGGGGGGATTGAATGACTGAGCTGCTCAAAGTAAAATTGGCAGCAGTGTGCAGAAAGATGAGGTGTGACGGCCTAATACTACATTTGGCCACGATCAGAATCTTTTCTGAGCCTGAGATTTGCATAATTTTTTTTAAGATGCAGTCAGGCAAATGCACGTTTCAAGGAATGTACAGGGTTTTCCTGGGCAGGTGTTTTCTCTGTAAAAGAAGCCACTTTGGGGCAGAATTCTTCCTCGACTTCTCCTCTGTAAAGCAGAGTTATTAAATGTGTGATATCAAAACTTGGCTACAGTGACCTGTATCCATGTTCTGCACTGTTTTAGAATATCATCTCATGTCTCTTTTGTGCTGTTCATTTTTAGTAAAGGAAAATATTTCTATATATGCAGTGTCTTTCTTTTGTACTGTTTTTACAACAGCTATCCCAGGCAGCAGCTAGTATTGATAACAGGGTCCCCACCCCTGCCTCAGTTGCTAGTGCTGATACGAATTCCCAGCAACTAGGACCAGATGCACCAATGCTAGAAAGCAAATCAGAAGTTAAAACTGAAGAAACTGAGCCAGAGACTAGTGAGACACAAGTGGAAGCTAAGACTGAGGTAAATGAGATTCTCTACAGCTTAACTGAAAGCAGTGATAGATATAAAAGCACTTAATGATGTGTCTGAATCGGTGAGCTAAGGGGCGAGAGGAGGGTCGTTACTGAAAAGTAACTGTCCTGAGGAAAGCCATGGATGGAAAGTGCTTCAGCAATCTCAAACTAATATTTTGGTGGCTGAAGTTTGGGTTGTAGATGTAACAGTGCATCTCGTTGCGTCCTTTCTTAAGGTGGAGGAGGATTTACAAGGATCTTCACAAGTAAAAGAAGAAGCAGATGGAACAGAACTGAAACAGGAGCCAATGGAAATAGAAGAAAAGAAGCCTGAAATGAAAGTAGAGGTTAAAGAGGAGGAGGAGAGCAGCACTAATGGAACCACTTCCCAATCCACATCACCGTCTCAGCCCCGCAAGAAAAGTACGTGTATGAAAACTGAGTTTCCTTGTGTACTTTGGTTTCACTAGCATTTGTTTTCCAGCTCCTGCTGGAAGATCTGTTTTGCACTTGTGTTCCAGCACGTGGAACTCTGGGAGATCAATACTCTGTAACTTAATTTTGAAAGTAGGGTTCTTTTAATGTTGCGTGAATCGCGGGTGAGAAAAGCATTGTGCTCTTGATCCCAGGGCAGTGAGGCAGGGATTGCTGGAGGAACTGAACACATAAATCCCTCCCTGTACATCTTGGTGCTCTTTCAAGGGAGTTCAGTGTAGATAAGTGATTTCAGTAACCAAGAATATCCACTGCTTTTATTTCCCTGTTAGAGGCTGCACACGCTGCCTTCATACTGAGTTTTGTCAGTCACTTCTCTGAGAATTAAGCACCTGAACTGCTCTTCTGAACCTGGATTCCTCCTAGGCTGGACTGCTGCAATAGGCTTAAACTTTAAAATGAAGTTCTGTGTTTTCAGGACTTTAAGGTTTTCAGTGCAATGTTCATTTGGAAGCTTTCTCCTTGGAAATAGCTCAGCAGTCTCTTAAGGTACATAAATTGAGGTGTGACTGTATCTGTACTCAAGGAAACTTTATGGCATTACAGATTATATAAATGATTGAGTGCCTTGGGTTAGTAAGAAATAAATGAATAAGATGATTAAAACAGAAATAAAAGACTACACTTGCAGTGCAGGCTTTGTGGGAGGCTGCAAGATTTAAGTTTTTGGACTCAAAACCCTTTGCACTTCCAAGACCCCTCTGTCTTTTGGCATCTGCTTTTTTGAGATGGTGTCTTTTGTGGGTAGTTTTTAGTTTTTTGACCAAAGGTAAGCTTTCAACACGCTGCAAATGTCAAAAAATCTGGATCTCCTGGGCGTGCTTGGGGTTGCATTTGATTACTAAACATAATCTTTCTGTAATAAAACCCTGTAGAACACATTTTGCTGTAGATTGATATTTTCAGTTTGCAGCAGAGTGGGCCAGCAAACGAGAGCTCACTGCAGAACCAACTGGCAGAGCCTGTTCTGACCAAAATGTAACACAGGGAGTGGAAAGCTTATTAGCATTTATGAACCAGTGCTATTCCCAGTGGAAGGAATCTCTGCTTCCTGTTAGGAATGCACTTGCAGTAAATGGAGGCGAGCGGCTCAAGGAAGGTTCTTGCAGAATCAGTCGGTGGAAGCTGCTCTGGGTTACTACGTATTGCAGTCCCTCCTTTAGTAACACAGTTTTCCCTTGGAAGTGTTGTCATTAAGTAACTCTGGAGTGGAATTCGTGTGCAGCGTGGGCAGGTACAGCCAGAGACATGAGTTGAAACGGTGACATTTCCTCACCCAGGAGTTTGTTCGACTTTACCCCAGCGTTGGTATCAAAATGCTGAATGAAGCACGAGGTGTTGGAGGGTAAATACAGCAAAGCGTGCTGAGGGGTTATGAGGTGTTTTAAAACTCCTGGAGAGGCTGGCCAGGAGTTTTCACGGGTTACAGAACTACTGGGGACTTGTTCCTTCCCGTGCAGCAGAGTCCTGAGGTGCATCCCACAGCACCTGGGACGCAGCAGAAGTGCCATGGAATGTATGTTCTAACTTAGCAAGTCATAGCCTTGCTTGGCTTTATTTCTGCAGATCTGATGTAAGCAAGAAAGGAGATTCCTTTGCCTCTTCCCTTGCAGGCTCAAAAAGCTTGGCATAATATTCATTTGGGCAGCTCCTCTCTCCTTGTAGGTGACTTCTTTAGTTTGCCCTTGGAGATGAGTTTTACTGGTTTCTTCCCTTCTTTGTAAGGGAATAATACTGCAAAACCTGCAAGGCCTTGGGTTTGGGGGTTATTCAGGTGTCTTGTCTTAAGAATTTTGAAGATTGCTAATCTTCCTGTAGGATTTTCCCCCTCAGTAGTCATAAGCAGTCTTGCCTCTGTTTGAAACAAGTTAAAAATTCAAAAAAAAAAAAGTAAAAAAGGTAACATTGTACTTTCCTTTGGCAGATAATACGTCATCATGAGTCAGGCAAAGATCCCATTTTCTTTTTACCACCCACATACCCAAGACAAAATGAAATAACTGGGTGCCAGCTCCTTACAAAGGTCTCCTATCCAATGGAGGAGGACCGGGAGCATTTCATTTTGGAAAGAGGAGAGAGGGCAGAACAAAACTTCCTTGTAAAATCAGGGTATAGGGAGATCCTATGTTCAAATATGCTGTTATTAGTCACATTCCTTTGAGGCAGAGCAGCTAAAGACAAAGGCAGCTCTTTACATTTTTAGGTAAAGTAATAAATTGAAATGATATAACTGGATTTTGGGTTTGATTTTCTTCGAACTTCAAAATGAAAGTAGGTTATAAACTTTATCAGCCAAAATAATTAGGCTTTAAGGAACTTGGCAAAAGTCGTGCTGTGTCTCTGTAGTTTGGGTTTAAATTAAGATTGGATTTATTTTGAAAGATGCTGTAACTTCAAGGTGTGTTATTATAAGAGAAAGAAGTTCTAACAGCAATGTCAAGCAGGTAGCCAGAAGGGGGTTTTTTGACATTTAAATTTCATTAAATGAAATAATGCAGATTGTGATGTTATGAACTACCTGAATCAGAGCAGTTAGAGATTAATGTTCCTCATTAACGGAATTTAATGTTTCCTTCTGTTCTCGAGAATCCCAGTGTATAATTTAATAGTTGTTTATAAAATGTTGAGAGTCTGTGAGAGGGTTCCTTGCCTAAGGAAGTGCCTGTGTATATGGTATTGATAAGCATGGAAAAGAGTTACCATTTTATTGGGCCTGAGATTGTGGAACAACTGAAATGATCATACAACCAATGTAGTCATCTCAGCTTAATTTCTTGTCATGCTTTATTTTCTTGTGTACTTTTTAAAATTGTAGATTATGAACTAGATGTCCCAAAAAGCAATTTATATCTTACCAAAATACCATTTGAGTGAAAAAAGCAATGATTGTGACTCAAAGGGGTCACTGAGCCCTGTAGATTCAAGTGCTTTTGACAGGACTAACTGCTCCATTTTATTGGTGTTGTTCTCATTTCATCCAGGTAGATAAATATTAGATGCCATCCTGCTTTCCTTAGTTGTCTTTTCTTTCTCAATAATAGGCATTCTTCGCTATGTAAAGTCACTGTTCCTAAGGAAATAAATGTAATTACACTGCTGAGATGTTCAAAGAGCTCTCCAAGTTATCATTATTTTTCAGAAAATGTATTGCCTTTTTTTTTTTTTCTGTCCTTGTCATTCACTACTGAAAGAATCGTGGCTGTTGCCATGTCACTGTTGCCAAGTGGTGCCATAGAAATCTGGAAGTATTAACACTTTCAAAATCAATTAATGATCCATCAGACCAGGCCTGTTTGCACACTGTGGCCAGAAAAAATTCCTGTGCCAGCTCTCAGGACATCTGGTCACTCTCTGTAGAGCTGGCTCTTCATCCCTGTCCACTGCAGTGGGTTTTGCTGGAAGAATCTTGGCTTGGAAACAGCGAACAAGGTTAGAAGGGAGGGAGAGAAAAATAATGCTCAGTCTCTTCTCTGAAGAGAAAAGGTTCATCCATGTTGAAACAATTGATTTAATTTGATTCTGTGTAAGTTTAGAGGGGGGTTTTATGCTCTAGAGTATGTATCATTATGGGCTAGAGTTGTTCCCATCCCCTTATTCTGGGATTAACACCTGCTGTGATGAGAGGCAATAGAAAAGCTGTGTGGCTGCCTCTTGATTTGTAAGTGAGGTTTTGCCTCTGATCAGGAAATCCCTCTTCAGAGTTCTGTGTTAACATAGTTCCTTGCTTTTCCTAGGGGAGTCAAGAGGTTAGGAAGTGTGGGAAGCAGTTTTCTAACCTTTCTGACTCTCACTTGCAGTTTTCAAGCCCGAGGAGCTGCGCCAGGCTCTCATGCCCACCCTTGAAGCGTTGTACCGGCAGGACCCCGAGTCTCTGCCTTTCAGACAGCCTGTGGATCCCCAGCTCTTAGGGATTCCGGTGCGTTGGCATTAAGAAAAACCTACCAAATCCTCTCCTGCTTTGTCTTTGCCCGTTCCAACGTTCATTCCCCACGTTTGACACGCCGGGAATGGTCGACGTCCTAAAACTAAAGTGGTTTTTTTTTGCGTCTCCAAAGGACTATTTCGACATCGTGAAGAACCCCATGGATCTCTCCACCATCAAACGGAAGCTGGACACGGGGCAGTACCAGGAGCCGTGGCAGTACGTGGACGACGTGTGGCTGATGTTCAACAACGCGTGGCTGTACAATCGCAAGACTTCCCGGGTCTACAAGTTTTGCACTAAACTGGCGGAGGTGTTTGAGCAAGAGATCGACCCCGTCATGCAATCACTTGGCTACTGCTGTGGGCGCAAGGTGTGTGTTCTCCTGGGTGCAGTTGTGTTCTTCCCAAGAGCTCAGCTTGATTGACCAGACAAAACTTTAGGTTTTCATATTTTAAAATGGAAGTTGCTAGTAGTTTGGCTTTATCACAGGCATGTGGAGAGCTAAAGAAGGTCAATAACATCCTTCTCTCTGCTCTTGGGTGGTTGTTGTTGTATTTTGCACACTCAGAAGACAGCTGTCTTGGTCATAAGCAATATTAAAATACTCCCCTCCTTTCTCACATCCCCTGCAGTAAAGCAGCAGGTTGCAGGGTCAGCTTTTAGAGTTAATGATTGTCATCAAGTCGAGAGGGCTGTGCTAATATATTTACAATAGCTCAGAAAAGCGTGAAAAACCTGACAATCTGATACCCCTAAGCATCAGGTTAGCACAATAGATCCTTGCCGAACAAAGGGTCCCATTGTAAAGCTGCTTTTCTCCCTTGTTTTGCAGTACGAGTTCTCTCCACAGACCTTGTGCTGCTATGGGAAGCAATTGTGCACCATTCCCCGGGACGCTGCCTACTACAGTTACCAGAACAGGTAAATCCTTGAATTCAGGGGTTTTTTTTTCCTTATTCAGGAAGTGACATCTCCTTTGACTTCCCTGCACATGTAGAGGAGGAGGTTTCTTAATTTTTGCTTTTCTTGGTCAGCTAAGTCAGGGAACATTTATTTTCTTTACCTTTCCATGCTGTCCTTTTGCAGGTGACTCTTGACTTTCCTGCAGTTTGGTACCCAGTGTGCTTTGGTGCTTGCTGTTAGTTAGGCTGTCCCAGGAACTCCCGAGTGCAGGGCAAGTTGTCCACGTTTTCCATAAAAAGAGGAGCAGGGCTTTTCTGGAGGGAGAGGGGCAGAACTGCAAAAAGGCCAGTGGGAAATCCTGTTACCTTGTTCTGGGAGAATTGTGAAAATATGCAGGTTTGTTTTCAAATTAGTGCCAGAATTTGCCAAGTAAAGGGTGTAGTGATTGATTGCAAGACTTACATTCTCCCTTCCTAGACAGTGCTTAATTCTATTTAAATTAGATTGGAAATAGCATTAAAAACTACCCAGAGACTCCATGAGAAGCTGTGAAAATTATGGTTTCTCTAAATCTTTAATTAATATTAGGACTTGGTGTTTGATTATTAAACAATCATTAGATTATAATACTAATGTTCTATTTAATGCTTAAATCTCCAGTGTTAAAATAACAAAACAAACTCAAAACTTGGCTTTTGTTTTGGGTTCTTAGATGATGTGTGTTGTCCCTCACCAAAAAAAAAAAAAAGCAGAATATAAATGGGCTAAGACACAAGCTTTGTTTTAAACAAGGAAAAGGAAGTTATGAATTGCTTTCCAGAGGCTTGGCAGTCTCTGAGCCTTGCCAGCTGTGAAGTGCACGGGGCTGTTGTCTGAGTGAAGTTTAAAGAACCAATTCAGACACTGAGCACTTGCATTTCAACTTTCAGGGCCATCCTTACTCACCAAGCAGGCTCTGAGCTGGTTTAAGCCTGTTGGGCACCAGCACTCTGAAGTGTGGCAGATGAAAATGTGTGTCCTACCTCGTGTGGGGGCAGAAAGTATTGACAGGGAGGAGTAAATTCATGACCTCTCATTAAAAGGTTTTAAACAGACACTGTGGACTCTGAAAAAAGTCAGGCTGAAGAGAAACAAAGCAATTAAAGTGCATTTTAAAAGACAGCTCTTCAGTACTGGAATGGGGGAAAAACAACCCTTAAATACCATCACTGTAGGTAGAATTTGAGTTAATTTTCATGTTATGCATCCAGGTAGTTCTGCATTTGAAAAGAACAGTAACTTCAAAAATTGATTGAAGAAGGGCTCGTTTTTCTTTCAGTTATCCTTCCCTCTTTAAATTCCCGTTAAATCATTAGGGTTATTCCATGGAAGGCAGTGTTGGGCACCAGCAAGAAGCCCGGGGTTGGTGGGGCAGTGGGTTCCTCTGCACTGGCTGTTGCAATATTTCAGTTTTCTGCCCATTATAAATGTTTTGAAATTGTAGATTTCTGTTCATTCAGATGTCTTGAGAGAAAGGGTTGGGGATTTGGGGTGGGTTTGGGTTCAGGGGGAATGTGAGGCTTTGTGTTTCAGGCCAACTAAATTGAGTGATAAACGGGGCTTTTAAAGAAAGCATTTCCGAAGATTTATCTCCGTATTTTTAGGTGTGCATTTGGAGTGTCAGATCATAGAAAGCCTTTGCTCATCAGCTGTATTGCTATAAAACAATCATGTTTTCTGTGGCAGTGATCTTGAAATCTTAGGTGTTCTTAAAGACCTAGAAAATAAGTGAAAAAACAAATTCTGTGCTTCCAGCAGATCTTTTAATTGGTCAAATGCTCTTGAATTTTCCATGTACAGAACAGGCAAAAATGAATGCACTAAAGTCCAGCATATCACATAACTAAATTACAACTAAGAATATTTAGGCACCATTGAATGAAATGAGCTCTGGCACTACAGTTCAATGATTAAAAGTTAATTATTTGGTATGGAACTGTTTAGGTTCCCTAATAAGGCAGAAATTTAGGTTAAAGTGTTCAGAAAACGTGAATATCCAGTTAAGAAAACTGATTGGTGTTTCATACAGTTATTAATTTGGAATTTCCTTTGAATACACTCAATTACAGTTGGGAATTCTCCTGTGAATGCAGAGATTGAGCATTTTTTGGACTTTGGTATTGAACCATAATGTTGCTCTTTGATAAACGGGAGTCAGTCACCTGAACAGTCTGCATTTGAAAAGCTTTTCATGTTTGATGTGTTGCAATAAGTACATTCTTTGGGGTTTCTATGGCTGTTGTAACTAGAATATTGTATGTTTTCTATGGGTTTTGGTGAATATTCGTGGGGGCAAGCAAAAGGCAGGTCTTTGTTTCTGAGAGTCCATATCCATAATCAATTATAGCTATTGCTTCACCATGGTTATTTTATGGATAAATGTTCATGATCTTTAGGTGATTTCATTTTCACTGTACTTCAGTTTTTATTTCCTCATTTTAATATCATGGATTAAGGCTTGGAGTGCTTTGAAAGCCCATAAATTATTCTGAAAATGGATCAGAATTAACATTTTCTGGGATTGTTTACCTGTAGCAAAATATGAATAGGAGCCTTGACCATGGATTTTCCTGGCTACAAACTCCTGTGTTTGGGTCCTCCTGAGTTTCAGTCCTCCCCAGTCTGACTCTTAAAATGATGAGTAACCATGTTAGTAAGGAAAATAATTAGTGAGGGGTTTTAATTAAAGGAAAATTCAAAGCAGCACATTCTAGGGGGAAAAAAAGGGGACATGGACAATGTGTAAAAGGATATAAAATTCTGAATCTCTTATATTTGAGTTTTATAAAAAAAAGAGTACATGTTTTGGTATTAGTTTAGGGGTGTGGAGTGAGGGGCAAGGGAGGTCATTGGAAATGAGATGTGCAGCGTCAGTCCCCACTCCTGAAACTCTCCTGTGGTGTTCCTCTTTAATAACCCCATTATGTTTATCATTCCAAATGATTACAAATTATTGGAATACATTTGCTTTCTTCCTGGCCTCGCTGTGCTGCATTCTCAGTCCCAAAATCGTGCTTTTCCTCGGGAGGGCGATGTGTTTCATCCCAGTGGGGCTGACCCAGGAGCAGTTGGGTGCAGTTTAACTGGTGGTGGGCTGGGAATCCACCCTTGGACAGAGAGGGGTTGCTATCAAAGAGCAGCTGCCCTGTGTGGAGGTGGCACTGTGGGTTCTGTTAACCAGGATAAACCAGCCCCTCTCCCCTCGAGTCGTCCCTCACCACGGCCAGGGCTCTGTGTTCTGCTGCAGTTCAGTGGCTCTGGGCTGCCACAGCAGCTCCTTACCCAGAGCCAGCTGGCAGAGCTTGGAAAAGTTTTCTGGCTCTGGAAATCGTGCCGTGGTAACTCTGAGCCGGCTCCAGCCCGGGGAGGGCACGGAGAGCTCTGCGGAACTGCCCCAGGAGGAAATTCTGATCCACCCATTCCAATAAGTGCCTGTAAATGCCCGTTGTTGTCTCCAGGAAAGCGCAGCCTTGGAGGTGTCAGCGGGATCAGTAGTTTAGGTGTGTGAGGGTGTGCTGGAAGGGGCAGAGCTGCCACTCTGATCAGTCTCCATCCCCTCAGTTGTTGGTTCATTGTGACATTGAGTCTCGTGCGGTGCCTTTTACGCTCCCCATCCCACAGTTGGTGTTCGAGTACTAAATCTGCGTCGTACTGTGCTGCCATCGCTGCTTAAACTCTCTCACTCTCGATCCTCCATAAAGCTCCTTTATTTTGATGATCCTTTGTGGCCTTCCCGCATTTTACAGCTGTGGCCTTTCTGTTGCCTTTGTTCATGTGTGAATTCATATCCTTTCCAAACATTTAGCCTCCTTTTTTTAATTTTTTTTTTTTAATTTATTTTTGTATGACCCTGACAACTTTGGTTCCAGTTCATCTGAAACAAACAAACAAAACCACCAAAAAACCCCCAAAAATCCATGTAACCTTGATTTTATTTTTATTTTTTTCAAATGCAGATTGTATTTTCATAGAGTTGTATTCCAGTTTACTCAGCTTGGTTTGGTAAACTGCAGAATTGGTTTTGCTGAGTATGACTTGGATTGGCTCTTGGTCTGGTGACCAAAAATTGTACCTGCCTCATATTCAATTTTTAAAGCTTAATTAATTCCACATCCTTAATGTACCTGATAAATATATTGTATGTATGTACAATATTTCATGTTGTTCACATATATACATATATTGTATTTGTATAGATAAATGGCTGGAAACTCTGACCCATAATTGCATTTCTGTTAAATGTTTGTCTAGAGTATGGATTTGGTTTCATTTATATTAAAGAATATTAGCTGAGCAATTGGTCACATTTAATCTTATACTCAAATTTGGAACTTAATATTTTTTATAACATTTAATCTTGCAGTCAAATTTTCAATTCAATATTTTTATAGATTTATTTTTTTTTACAATACCAAGCGTTTCTGCTTTTGCAGCTCTGACTCACAATCAGTAAATGCTTTCAACGTGTTTCCTAATTCTTTAAATCCACAATAAACCGTGTTCCTAAAGCTTTTTGACAGGCTGCTTTTCACCCAAAGCAAACTCGATCAGTCGCAAGCCTGGAATCAAAGAGCTTGTTTGGTTTTTTTTTCCCTAAACAATGCAAATCAAATCCAAATTCTTAAATTTGAAGCCTATACAAAGGTAGCTCTTGGTGGCTACTCCATTAATCCTCCCCCAAATTTTGAATTTGACGCCCGACGACGACTTGTTAGCGATGTGTGAAATGAGACCGAATGCTAATCTGTGCTTTGCCTTGGCTTTCTGCTCTGTGTTGTCTTGGTGTTTGCGTCTTACCTCTTACGTCTGTGCTGTTTGTTCCCTCCCCTGTTCTCTAATCCTGCCCTCCCCTCCCTCTGTTCCTCCTCATTGTCCACACTGACCCATCAATCAACCAACAACGTCCCCCCTTCCGTCGTGGTCGTGCTGATCTGCCCTGCCCTGGTTGGTGGCTCCGTGCTTGGGTGGCTGTGTTTGTGCTGGACCAGCTCACCCAAATATGGCCTTCTTGCTGACAGGTATCACTTCTGTGAGAAGTGTTTCACTGAAATCCAGGGGGAGAATGTCACCCTGGGTGATGACCCTTCCCAGCCTCAAACGTAAGTCCTTCCTTTCCTCTGCATGCTGCCTCTTGGGATGGGAGGGGCGGGGTTTGTCCTGGGCTGGGAGTAAAACCCAAACCCCTTTGGTGGTGTTTTTGGGGAAATGCCTTATTCCTTCCTAACAGGAGATTTTACAGTGCCAGGAGGAACAGCTGTCGCTGTGTTGGGGCTGCAGGTGTGCCCAGCAGCGTCCAGCTGAGCTGCCCATGCCAGGGGTGCAGACCCCAGATAATGTGCTTGGAGGGGGGCAATGGGGACTGTGTCAGTAAATGTCACTAAGGCTTCACCTCCTTAGGAAAGACTTTAATTCTGATGTCTCACCTTTGTGAAGTGCAGCCTATATATATATATTTGTAAGACCAATGGCTTGCCTTTAACCTGGCCAGAAAAATCAAATTTGAGTAATACAAGCTACTGTTTAACTGACAATAGCTTCCCTTGTCCTTTTTTTTTCTGAATTTAAATGTATCCCGGTGCTTGGGTGTCTCTTATTTTGCTTTTAATTTATGCAGAAAGTAAAATAAGAAAAATATTTTCTGTAGCTTAAGCTAAAATGAACTGAATTGCTTGCTCTGACTAGAAAATAAATACTGAGGTGCTTTCTTCAGACTTGAGGTTTGCTGCAATTCAGCTAAAAATTATATTGTCTCAGCCTCTGATATAAAAGTGCTGCTGAGTTTTCATGTTAACTCTCTGTCTCTAGAACCATCTCCAAGGATCAGTTTGAAAAGAAGAAGAACGACACCCTAGATCCGGAGCCGTAAGTACCCGACTGTTGGTTTTCCTGAGATGATCCCATCACTTCCACTCGTCCTTTAGCCAGAAACAGGGCAGGGAGTAAAGAACTCTTCCTTTTCCCCCATCTCTGCCCAAACAGGCTACAGAATCTTTCCCTAAAATTTATGGCACCACATCCAAAGCTGATGTCTGACTTTGGTACCCAAAAGGAAACGTGAGCCTGTTCCTCAGGCAGTTCCTCGTTTAATGTGTGATTCCAAGAACCAGCCAGGCTCTGCTCAGGGCTGGGAATGGCCCTCTCTCACACAGAGCCTTTCACAGCCAGCATTCCTGGGGCACTTCTGCCTTTTCCTCTTCTGGTTCTAAACCACATTTTTCTCCTCACTGAGTGCTCAGCCCACCAAAAGGACCATCCTGCTCCTCACATGTGCTACCCTTGGGAGGCTGAGAGAAAGCCCAGCTGAACTTCCCTGCTTTTCCTGCAGTCCTTAACTGGCTGCAAAGAGATTTTTATCTTGCTGTTACTATTTTCCCTGGCAGTTTGATACTCAATACATTTCGATTCCTAATCTTATCTTTGCAAATATGAAATAGAGCTCCTCCTCAGGCCTGTAAAGGTGGACTGGGATAGACCCCAGTGCATTTGGCTTCATAACCAATCCTACAGCCTGGTCTGGGAAAACCTCCAACAGTTTTCCCATCCAAAAAAAGGGATTTTGACATACTATTGTGACCAGAAAAAAAGAAGACTACAGCAGAGCAAAGACAAGTTAATGCATGTTTTCTTGGCAGGGTGATTCATGACTGACTAGTTTTTACGTTTACAGTAAGTTGAGCAACCATTTAGTCAGTCTGTGGTTGTTGCAGCAATTGGGAGTTAAATCTGTGGAGGTATTGTTGAGCAGGATTCTGTGAAGCTGGGAAGACTCAGGACTCTGCTTAGAAAAGGATAAAAAAGATCCAGAAAAAGTTGTGCATGACAGCCCATTTCAGATTTTTAAACTAGAACACCTTGTTATATATATATATATATGTGTATATATATATATGTAATTCACACGTGGATTGATAGATGTGGATCTGAATCTATTCTGAGTATTTTTTAAACTGGCACATAAATTGGGCCTATTGAAGTTGATTCAGATCTTACCAGAGGATTGGCAAGTCCTTCTTTCTTGCTGAACTCTGAAAAGTGACTGTACCTAACACCAGAAGTGATTGGCTGCTGTTTTTTCTCCTCAGGTTTGTTGACTGCAAAGAATGTGGTCGGAAGATGCACCAGATTTGTGTGTTACATTATGATATTATTTGGCCTTCAGGGTAAGAGATGTTTGTTAGTTTTTTTACCCCTTGTATAATAATGTCGATGTAGTTTATATAATAAAGACTTTCTGCCATTGTTCTTTAATATGTGGCCACTACCTTTGCCTTCTAAGAACTGAGTACAAAAGGACAAAGTGTTTCTTAATAAAACACATTTTTTGGTGCTTGGGGTCTTATTTCAGTCTGCTCAGATAAAAATGTGCATGAAACCAACTTTTCATCCACTCGGCTTTCTGTGGTTTCTTTCTAACTCCTAAACAAGGTTGGAGGTGAATTTGTGTGCCCAGAACACAAATGCAGGTGTAACCACTTGGCAGAATTAAACCAGCTCACAAAGGCCTTAAGTCTCTCAAAAATGAAGTGATACAAACTGTTCAAATCCAGAGAAAAATATATCATACATTGAAATTATGGGTTCAAACGTTGGGTTTAAGCTCACCAGTAATGGGCTTATGCTAAATTTTTGGCCTTCTCTTTTTTTTCTCAATAGGTTTGTCTGTGATAATTGCCTGAAGAAAACCGGTAGAACACGCAAAGAAAACAAATTCAGTGCTAAAAGTGAGTTTGATGTTTCTGATTTTATCTCCAGCACTCATCTTCCCCCTGCCACCCCTAATGGCTTTTTGATTGAGACTTTGGGGCGTGGTGTAGCCTGAGGCTGTCAGAATTTTAATCAGCATTTTAAAGCCCTGCTCTCTCTGTGTTTGTGGTCAGCCTTGGGGTGTTTGGCACCTTTGTCCTTATTTTTCTAGGGTTAAAAAGCAGAAAGAGGGGCAAAGAGAACAGGAAAAGCACTGAGCTGTGTGCACTTCCCTGGCTATATTTAGCTGTGTTTCCATGTAGTGCTGAAACTGTAGTAAATGACTGTCACCTCTGTGCCCTTCCAATAACGTGTAGTAACGTGCTGTGCTGCAGTTCAGGTGCTGCTGCCAAGCACAAAAGTGTTTGAAGAGCTTTTCTTGCCTCCAGAGCGGGCGGTGGGACATGGACTGTTCACTGGAATGAGTAGCCCATTCCACTGTGAGTCTGGATTCCCTTGGCAGTAACCACTGCCATAGTCTGGTTGAAATGGGCACTAAAGAGAGGGCCAGGAGATGGCCAGGTCAAGTTGTATCAGTCTCTTCAGTGATCCTTACACAGGGCTCTCTGCAAGCATTTCACCTCAGGGAACATAATTCAGTCATTTCCACTCACATCTGGAGGGAGGGCAGGAGGAGAAGGGGCTGGTATTGGAAATGCAGTGCCAGTGCACAGAGCAGAAAAATTGGGTGACTGCAGAAACCAAGAGGGTGATTCAGCCACTTGAACAACTGGAACTTGCAGGTGCATTTGATTCCTGCCTTGTCCTTTGGTCCTTGGACGTTCTGGGCATTCCTGTGTCACACTCTGCCTGCACAAGCCTGAATCTTCCACACTGTGACCAAGACAAGGTTTTGCATTAAATGTGACTTCTTGATAACTTGGTGTGTGGTTGATTGCATAACAGGAGCTGTGAAGGGGGATGATGTGGAGATGAGAAAGCTGTGTGAGGCATTATTAGGTTACAGTAATCAAAAAGGTCTCTGGAGGAACCTGACGCATGCAAGACAGCATTGTTAAAGAGATCTAAATTAGGCTCATTAAAGACAGATTAAAGTTGTAAGAGAACATTAATAAAATGATGAAATCAAAAATGTGGGTTTAGATAACCATTTTAAATGGATGTCTCTTCTGTTGTATCCTGACTTTAGAGCATATATTGATGTAAATTGTCTGAAATAAGTGTGTGACTGGTATCTGTAAGGTATCTGCAGTTGTTTATAGTTTGTGTAAACCAGCCATTTAGTTCAAGGTAACAATTCTGCTCTGCACAGGGAAATAATGATGCTTTTTCCCTTTCCTCCTTTTCCTTTCCCTGCTGTTTGACTGTCTTGTCTTTTTCCCATGATTTGAGTCCTGCTGTAAATCCAGTGGTGGGAGATCAGCTGTCTCTGACAATGCTCTGGTGGAAATGCAAGAACAGGGAAGGAAAAGGAAAGCCTGCTCTTGTCCAAATCTTGGTCTTACTGCTGACCTGAAAACAAACCTGAGCAGTGAAAGATTTGAAATGTTAACATGTTCCCTCTCCCCATAAAAACTTTTACTTATAAAGTATTACAATCAAGTAATACAATCAAGTTTTAGTTGCCATCAATATTTCTACACTCTTTCAAGCACAACTGCTGATAAATAACCAAGACAGCACGTCCCTCAGGTGTTCTGGAACATTCATATTCCTAATGTATATTAGGTAAAATTGGCTAATTAACTGATAGCCTGCCAAATACAACAAGGTGCAGCTGTGAGACCCCGAACTTTTCAGGTATTTATTTTCCTAGGAAAATCTGCAAATATCACTTCCCCAATGCAGAGAGGTTCAAAGACAAAAGATATCCTGACAAATCAGTCACCCACAGCAGTTTCCTGACAAGGAGTCACAGTGAGCCAGGAGTCTGACTCTCTTCCTATGTGTCCCGTTCCTCATCCCCTCACAAATGTCTGGCCATTGCTGCTGCCACAAACCTCCTGTGTGGCAAATTTTAGATCCTTTCCTTACAGCACCTGTGACCTTCATGTTGCCTCTTTCTTTTATCCTCTAATCTGGTCTTGTTGTGTGTGTTGCTTTTCGAGCCCTAGTGCTCTGCAGCGTAAGGAAGGAAGCAGATAGCAGATATCCCCTGCTCGCTTAGCATTGGGAAGATGATGAGGTGAAAGCACAAGACAGTGGAGTTAACTCTAGTGGCTTCCTAACTCATCAGCTGAAATGGAGCCCTTTCTTCTTTTTCTGTTTGCAGTCAGAGAAAATCAACAAAACAAAAAAGTGTCCTCATAAGGAATTGGTGATTTCCTTTAAAATCCCCTTCATGTTATACATGGAAAGCCCAGTATGGTGTATTGGGCTGGGAAACACTGGGAAAGGCCAAGGTGTTGGAATTTAAAGAGGGCATGGTGTATTTTTATTTTAACCTGCCTTTGAATTTAGTTATTGGCTCCCAATTAAATGATATTTAGACTGTGCTGTGCTGGTTATAACCATGGAATCTCACTGGGCAAGGGGGACAGGCTGAAAGATGCAAATCAAGATTGCTGCTTTTGGGAATTTCTGTCAACTGATTGTGATTAAGCTGACAGAGGGCAGGATTATAGATGGGATATTGGGAAGGAATTCCTCCCTGTGAGGGTGTCAGGCCCTGGCACAGGTTGCCCAGAGAAGCTGTGGCTGCCCCAGCCCTGGAAGTGTCCAAGGCCAGGTTGGATGGGGCTTGGAACAACCTGGGCTGGTGGAAGTGTCCCTGCTCAGGGGGACAGAATTAAATGAGTTTTAAGGCCCCTTACAGCTAAAACCATTCCTTGATTTTATATAAAAAAATTAAATATATAAATGCCTTAGAAAGTGAGATCATCCTTTGAGTATATGTGGGGGTTTTCCCCAGTATTGGAGCCTAAGGAATTTTAGTGTAGATATTCCACTGCAGCTTTCTGGATGTCAGGAGGAAGAACCAAGAGCCTTGTGTCAGGAGCCAAATAACAACTGAAACATGAAGCAACGGAGAGCAGAAAGTAAAATATATTCTAGTAAAATGAACATCTGTAGATTACACCATCACTTTGGAAAAGATAGCAGATTGACCATAAAATGAAATAGGAATACTGGGTAGTAAAATAAGTACAGCAGGATAAGAGAAGTAGTCATAAATCTTCAAGTCAAAACAATGGGCTCCTTCTGTTTTCTTAATTTAACCCAAAATCTTCATTGTGAATTCTGTAATTTGTTGTGGATTTATTTGAAAACCATCACATCCTGTAAGACCACAAACCCAGCTCGCCCCACAAAAGCCAATTGTGAATGTAAAGACCGAGAGAGGGGACCTGGACAATCTGTGGACTTGAACTTTCCAAGACCTCTATCCCTGTGCAGGAACTATTTAACCTTGACGTGCAGATTACTGTAACTGCAGCCTGAAAGCTCTCTTGAAAAGAAAAGCAAAAGCAATGAAATCTCCGTCAAAGTCAAAAGGCTTTTCATTTCTGGTGATTTGCTTTGCTTTGCTTGAAAAGGTGTGGCACGGAGCCAGATCTATAAAGTGATGTAATCTCTGTCAAGCAGCCAGAGAGTGGGTTTGGCAGGAGAAAACATTCGCAGTGTTCATAAAATAAGCCTGCAAATTGAAAAATGCTACGTAAAGCCGCCTTTGTCGGTTCACTTACGGGGTAATTTTCCCACTGTAGTGGTTTTAAGCTTCCACCATAGGGTGTGAACACCTTAAGGCCTGGGGTAAAGCATGGATGGGTTTGCTTTTTTTTTTCTTTTTTCATTTTTGGCTGCATAAATAAAACCCATCAGATTTTCATATGCAGGTAAAACAAAGGGGAGAAAAAAACCCCACTTCCATCCGGAGGAACAAACTGAATGAGTTTAAAAAAGCACAGTAACACCCCAAACCTAAATGATTTCTCCAGAATTAAGTTTCCATTGTCATATTCTCCCCCTTCACTTCCAGGGCTGCAGACAACACGTTTAGGAAACCATTTGGAAGACAGAGTGAACAAATTCCTGCGGCGACAGAATCACCCTGAGGCTGGAGAGGTCTTTGTCAGAGTAGTAGCGAGTTCAGATAAGACAGTAGAAGTCAAACCAGGAATGAAATCCAGGTTGGTTCTGTTCATTCTAATAAATGCAATTTTTTTAAAATTGATTTTATTTTGAAGTCTCCTTTGTAGATATTGCAAAACTTTGACAATTTGCACCTTAATCCCTTTACACGTTTTTGGAACTTTGGCATGAGTAAGATTGTGACAGGTACAAAAAAGCAGAGGAGGTGACAGTTGTATTTTGACTGTTTGGGGGGCAGTGGGGGCATCCTGGGTTTGGTTATAATACTGTGACTTTGTGTTGCTAAATCTTAAGAGTCTGACCCCGTTTTGGTTGGTGTTTCAGAATTCATAGTTTAGTTTGGAGCAGTTGCTGAGATTCTGTTCCTTACTGTTTTGTTGTGTTTTTATAAACACTTTGGCTTTCAGGAGGGATTTTTAATTTACTTCATTATAAATGGAAAGCTTAAAAGGTTTATTCTATGGAGCATTTTGGCTTTAATTCATAAAGAGAGTGTTTATGTGACATCACCTCATCATAATGCATCAGGTTTTCTGCTCTGCAACCTATTTAAAGGCTTGTGGTCTCTGAGGATATTCATGTTCTCAGTGCTGGCCTGTTCAGCCCTGTGTTCTATATGGAAACAGTCTCTCCATGAATTTACAGTGACAGGACTCCCTGTTTTACCACAGCTCTGATCTGCCCCCCTTTAACTTCTGTGTAAATGTTCCTCATGGGTTAAAAATAAGGTTGGAAAACATTTCCTCATTCTAGCCAGACGCTGCTTTAATAGTTGGCTTTTTGCTGTTCTCTTTTTATCCTTCCTCCCACCCCTTCCCTGCAGATTTGTGGACTCTGGTGAGATGTCAGAGTCCTTCCCTTACCGAACCAAAGCTCTGTTTGCGTTTGAGGAGATCGACGGGGTGGACGTTTGTTTCTTCGGGATGCACGTGCAGGAGTACGGCTCGGATTGCCCCCCTCCGAACACCAGGTACCCCCTCAGCTCTGCACAGGGGCACCTTGCTAAAGCCACTGGCACTCACAGAAAGCTGGGCAGTTTGTCTCAGTTCTGGGGCACCACAGTCCCACTGTAGGACTGCAGGTGACTCTGAGAGCTGTTTACACCGTGCTAAGATGGTTAAATGTGCGTTCAAACATCATCATGGTTAATTTTTCTTTCTGTGTACGTGCCTGGTGTAAAAGTCAGCTCTGAGTGGCCAGAGCAGCCACCCGTGACTCGCTGTGTTGTCGTTGCTGCAGGCGTGTGTACATCTCCTACCTAGACAGCATCCACTTCTTCCGCCCCCGCTGCCTCCGGACCGCAGTTTATCACGAAATCCTCATTGGATATTTGGAATATGTGAAGAAACTCGGGTAAGTCACATCTTTGGAAAGAAAGGAATTGGGGTTTTTTTAATCCAGGGTGCACTGGACAGAGAAACTGGGATTTTTGTCATTAAAGTGGTGGTTTGTTGTCAGGACTCTTTAAGCTCACAGCACATCATTCACCTGGTCAGAGGTTCACTCGATATTTAAGCTTCGTTGTCACATCCCAGACCTTATCCCTTGTCTAAATAGAAGTTATTTGCCCTGCTAACTTTGCTACAAAATAAAAATAGAAAAATATTTTTAAAAAATAAAGCTGGAGCTCTGAATGTATGCTTCAGTTGGGGTTAATTTTGTGATGGCAGTCACAGATTTTGTTTGTTGTGTGTCACACCAGGTATGTGACAGGGCACATCTGGGCCTGTCCCCCCAGTGAAGGAGATGATTATATCTTCCATTGCCACCCACCTGACCAGAAAATACCCAAGCCCAAACGTTTGCAAGAGTGGTATAAGAAGATGCTGGACAAGGCATTTGCTGAGAGAATCATTCATGACTACAAGGTTTGCTACTGTTCAATTTCTGAATTAATTTTTATGGGCATTTCAGACTGGGATGATGGCCTGCAAGGGGTTTATTCTCAGCCAGTGTCTTCATTGTCTTAGATTTTCTTGAGGTTCTGCCTTTCAGGCTGAAAATTCCTTAGGTTTGGTGTCTGAACAAAGAGAAATCTGCAAGGACCTGCCTTTGTGTACTTGTCTTTCACTGCAGTTTTTAGGCAAGGAAATATGGAGCTTGTTAAGAAACTGTTTGCTTTGGTAGCTCTGGAGGAGCAGGTGGAACTCTGGGCCCCACTAGTGTGAAATAAAAAAAAACAACTCCTTATAAAAAGGATGATTTTCTTAATTAGAGAACATCACACATGTACCCAAGGAAATATGTTGAAGGTGGCAAAGGGAGCATTTGCCACTCCTTACACGCTAAAATTTACAAGAATTCCTTCATGGCAGTGACAGTGCCGGCAAGAAATTGATGTTTTGATGGCAAGTGACAGCTATGAAATGTGTGGAGTGGAACAGCCTCTCACAAGCCTTGCCACGGGATTCAGTGTAGCAAAGAGCTGCAAAATCTGTGCCTCCTAATAAAAAAGTGGGCTTGAAACCAAGGAGGGCTTCGTTGGGTTTTCCAGGGGTATCTTGGTGTCTCCCATCATGTCAGGAACATGAACTGGTGGCACGATGGGGGTTCAGGAGAGGCTCAGCAGGGTAAGATAAAACAGGGGGTGGGGCTGTTATCAGCATTGCCAGGCTGGTTTTGGGGCTGCACCCAGAGAAGGGGACCTGGCAGGAGCAGGCCAAGGCTTTTGGGGCCATGTCTCTTGTTCTCCTCCCTCCCCTGAGTGATCTTGGTTTATTTATTCCTGGAATTGTGTGATGTGCTCAACAGGACATCTTCAAACAAGCAACTGAGGACAGGCTGACCAGTGCCAAGGAGCTGCCTTACTTTGAGGGGGATTTCTGGCCCAACGTGCTGGAAGAAAGCATTAAGGAGTTGGAGCAGGAGGAGGAGGAGAGGAAGAAGGAAGAAAGCACTGCAGCAAGTGAGACAACAGAGGTGGGTTAACTTCATGTGCTGTGTTTGCTCCTGGCTCACAAAGCTGACAATCAATGTTTTAACAAACGAGAGAGTTCACAGCCAGTAAACTAGAAAAGGTCATTCACACCATGAAATCAGGAGTCCCTTTACTGCATTTCTGGGTTTTTTCATGGTTAACAAATACACTGGTGGCTTGGTTTGGGTTTTTTTTAACAGACTCAGAAGTCAGTTGTGTCAGTTCAGCGATCTCCGTTCTCGGAGAAATGTGTTAAGCTGCTTTTGCATCACTGCATTTGCTCACAGTGCTTTGGCTGAGCTGGTTCACACCTTTGCAAAGCACCTTCAGTATTTGCATTTGGAGAGGTGCTGGATTTTTCAAAGCTGAATGAAATGTGGCTGTTATTTAAGCACAAGTACTTGTAGTCATTTGCAACAGCAAAGGGCTGATATTTAAAAGTATTTAGTGCAAGCTTTGTGTTGGTGGGAAACGTTGATCCTGATAGTGCTGTTCCTTCACCACCATTCTCCCTCTGCACATAAAAAAACCAAACAAAACCCCAACAACCAAGTTTTTCAGGGTCCTGGGCAGAATTTCATCATTCATTTGTGTTTCTGTGTCTATTTTATCTGTAACCAAATGGTCCCAGTACTTTCATACTGACCCTTCGACTTGTGATTCACAGCAAGGAGTTCTGAAAATTAATATTGTAGGAAAATCTGAAGTCTGATAAGACTGATATTGTAGGAAAATCTGAAGTCTGATAAGACTGAGGTGGAACCAAAAGCTTTACCTGGGGGAAACCTGCCTTCAGCTTAGATGCCATGACTGTTTGCTTCCAGTGAGTGTTACATGGGCTTGATGTGGAGGGATGGACCTTCACCCATCGATTTTACTGTGTCAGGAAGTTCCTCCTGTTAAACTTCAGCAGCTCCTTCAAAGCTAATACAGTTTGTTGCTGTGTTCTTATGGAACCAAAAGGTTAACAGCTTTCACTTTGTTCCTCCTGAATGTGACTTGGAATATTGAAATACTTCAACAAACAGAGCAGTATAAAAAGAAGTGGAAGACAAGGCTTGGGATTGAGCTGCAGCCCTCTCCTGCTAACAGTATCATTTCCAGTACATCAGAGGGTGCCCTCCCAGTGAAAGCATTTATTCTGCATCTAAGAGGGGAAAAAAAGGTGTTTAAAAAGCCCAGAACAACTAATTCTGAACTCATGCAAGTTGTGGCCTGAAGTGCAGCCTTGCCTGTGACATCCTTGTGCTCCCACCTGATGCCACTGATGCTGTTTTGGGGCAGCAGGGCGACAAAATCTGCATCCAGGTCGCTGAGATGTCATCCAAGAACACAACAAGGAACGCAACAGTGGGGTCTTTGCCACTTGGCTCGGGAAAAGGAGTAGTTTGAAAAGTGTGGGAACTTCTCCAGTGCAGAGACCTAAACTTGGGTCACCTCATGGAGGAGCCTGCCCAGCAGTGGGGATCTCCGAGGGTGGAACCACGAGATGGGTCTTGGGATTGAAATGGCACAGAATCTGCCTGTCTTTTCTGGAATTCTTCATCCTAAACTTTGTATGTGTGGAGAGAAAGCTTCTTAAAAGTCAACTTGTGCTGCAGGTGTCAGATAAAGAGAGTCTGAAGAAGTGGGAAATAGTCAGAATTCCTGGAAAATTCTGAAGAGGCAAGACTCACATGTCTCTGGGTGACCTGGCTGAATATCAAAATAAAGTGGTACAAACACCATCTTACAACTTCTTAGTAAACAGTTTGGAATGCTTTGTACAGTTGACAACTTAGACTTGTCCTGTTAGATAAGTTTCAATCTGTCCTTCCTCTTGGTGTTGAAATTTTAAAGTCTCTGTTGATGCTGCAGGATGTGCAGGCAAAGGAGGACAGGCCCCAATTCCATCAGGGTGTGGTGGAAAGTTAGGGGAAGTGAAGGTGGGAACATACAATAGCTCACTTCTGAATCACTTCAGATCACCTAGAGCCCTGTGTGGTTTCCAATAAAATAGTCTCATTTTAATTTCCAAACAGATTTGGTCAAAAAGTCCATAAAATTAGTTCCAGAGAAGCCAGGAGTGGACAGGGAATTCCTGTCCAAGCCTAATTAATGGAATGGAAGGATGGCAGCAGTCTATAAATAGAATTGCTCTCTGCAATTGGAATATTTTTGTTTTCCCTGAATAAATATGCCTGTGGATAAACCCTGTGTTTGCTTGTACATGCTGTTCATGGAACTTTCTTGCATATGTGTATATATATATATATATTTATATATATCAGAGTATTTCAGTAGCTTATTTTTAATTTCATGGTGAGCAACGTTCTCGCAGTTGGAGGGGGGGTTTGACTGAGTGAACTCCCTGCTCAGGGCTTGGGGGTTGATTTTTCAAGGACATGAGAACTCCTAAAAGTTATTTCTGTTTTCCCAGGTCATCTAAATAACATCATCTGCTATTTTTTGCACTCTTTACTTACATCTAGCATTCAGTGTATGGCCACTGTGGTCTGTGTTATAACTTGGGCACAAGTGAAGGTTTGGGAGGTTATTTTTTTTTGGAGTTGCACGTGCAGCTGGAATTCTGCAGGATGGAGAATCACATGTTTGCTTGGTTTCAAATCCTGCATGTTCTTCTCTGTATCCTCACCCTAAATTTGTTCAGTAAAAACAAACAAACCTTAAATCAGAGCTCGATCGAGTGTGTGAAGCCCCAAATGCACAGCAAAGCAAGGTGCTGCAGTCCTGGAATTGTTTGCAAGTCCATTTTATTTGCAGCTGATTTTATCATCAGATGTCAATAAGATCTTATAAAGCAGTACAGTGTTTGAGAGGGAAAAAAGAGAGTGTAAGATGGGAATTATTTAATGTATATATGTACTTTAAAAGTCTGTTTTTAATCAGTGTTTGGATTTGTTTGCCTGCCAGTTTGGCTTTTGATTTTTCCTGGAAGATAGGATATATTTAACACAGCAGGGCTGATTTGCAGGCATTGGAACGAAAGTTCTATTCCTGACAGCAGAAGTGTGTCAGTGTGAGCTCAGTGAATGGGAGAGAGCTCTGTAAAGTGTAACATCTTTCCCATGCCTGTATTGCAGGGGAGCCAGGGCGACAGCAAGAACGCCAAGAAAAAGAACAACAAAAAAACCAACAAGAATAAGAGCAGCATCAGCAGAGCCAACAAGAAGAAGCCCAGCATGCCCAACGTGTCCAATGACCTGTCTCAGAAGCTCTATGCCACCATGGAGAAGCATAAAGAGGTACTGTCAAAGTGTGCAGTGCAAAGAGGAGGGTTCAGTCCGGGCAGTGCAGGCACAATGACACTTGGACCTGAACACTCGGGAGAGAAAAGCTCGTGGTGGGGTTGGAAATGTTTCTGTTGCATAACAACATGCTGGAAGAGATTAGCTTCCACCCAGTTAATGAGATAAGGTTTGTAGCACGGTGTTACTGCAGAGAGCAGGAGCCTCCTCCTGCCAGATCACCTGCCCTCGCTGACGCCTCTCCCGCTTACCCGCAGGTCTTCTTTGTGATCCATTTACATGCCGGGCCCGTCATTAACACCCTGCATCCCATCGTGGACCCGGACCCGCTGCTGAGCTGTGATCTGATGGATGGGCGAGACGCCTTCCTCACCCTGGCCCGGGATAAGCACTGGGAGTTCTCCTCTCTGCGCCGCTCCAAGTGGTCCACGCTGTGCATGCTGGTGGAGCTGCACACCCAGGGGCAGGATCGCTTCGTCTACACGTGCAACGAGTGCAAGCACCACGTGGAGACGAGGTGGCACTGCACTGTCTGCGAGGTACGTGGGGGGCACCTCACAACGCGGCTCCCTCTTGCCCTGCAGCTGAGCTTTGGGGGGGGTTTCTTGGATATTGCCCAAAAGTTCCTCCAAATTAAGCCTGTCCTGATGAAAGGGTGCTAAACCTTAAGGGAAGGTGATTATCAGGTGGGTAGGAGAGGTGGGTACCTCTTCTTCTAGAAGTGACTTTGGGTTCTCAGCATGGAAAACTCAGGAGTGGCTCCTGCTACATCATTTATTCCTCTGTGGCTCCTCTGCAGAGACAAGGTTTTAACTGAGTTTTAAAGAATCATGAATCTTAAAATGGTTTGGGCTGAAAGGGACCTCAAAGACCGTCTCACTGGACCAGGCTGCTCAAACTTTAGGACTGGGTGGTGGGGTGGGACTGTGTCACACTGGTCAGAATCTGCAGGGCACTGACTCGTCCACATTTTGTGGATGTCCACCAGAGCAGGTGACTTACCCTCCTGCAGGGTCACGCTCCTGCTTTAGACATGAGGCTGCCACAGCTCCAATCATTGTCCCTTTGGTCCAACACTCCCTGCCCTTCACATCAAACCAAATAATTGCTGCTAAGCCACACCTGGCTCAGTGCTTTTAATGACCAGCCCTTTTCCAGCACAGGTCACTTCTGCTGGGCTGTGTTAGAGAGCAGTTATCCATGGGGCTGTACCAGTGGCTTCGTGAGGGCTTCTGTTGACCTCTGGCTGTAGCTGAACAAAAGAAATTTGAATAAGTGCAGCCTAGTTCTTACACCAAAAGTTACTGCCAGGTTTGTGGTGGAAGAGTCTTAATTAATCCCTCTGAGGAAAGCATCGAGCCGGGATTCTGGAGGCAAGGCTGCAGGAGATGGATCCCCCACACAGGGGGAATCAGGTGGTGGAAGGAGGGTGTGACCTTTGGGCTGCCTCTGGGTACCCCTGTGTAAGGGAGTGCCCTTCCTGCAGCGAGAAAGGGACAGGGCAGTGAAAATCTGGGGGGTAAGGAAGTTTTCAGGTAAGTGTCTGTCTCAGCATGAAACTTGCACTTGATTTGAGGGTTGTTTTAGGGATTTAAAAACGCACATATTTCAGGGCAGTAATTATTAGTCAGTAATTACACTAAGAATAACTAAATGGAGAGCTAACCTTACCTTTCAGGCAGTGACCTTAGGTTTGTCTTACTAGTTGGAGGTTTCAGTACCCAAATAGGTATCACAGAAAAATACCTAAAAAACCAGTTCCTGTCACTAAAAGGGAAAAAATAAAATAAAAAGCGATTCCTGCAAGACATTTTCATGTAATAAAGTGACACAATGACAGCCCCTGATTGCAGTGTTCCCCACTGTGGTCCAGAGCTGTGATTGCAGGCTGGCTTTGCTGGGGCTGCTGCCCTCTGTGCCCCAAAGCCCTGCTCCCACTGCCTGTACAGCTGCTTCCCTGCCTGGCCTGAATGGAAATGGGTGTAAATTGAGGGGGCAGCTCTTGGGAGCGCATGGCTTTGTCCTGCTTGTGCTCTGTGTGGTTGTACCCACGGACACCCAGAGCGTTCCTGTACGGGGGGCTGGTGCTGCTCTCCCAGCACCGCTCTGCTCCCCTGCCAGCGTGGCTCGTGCTCCCTCAGCAGCTGAGCTCTGGGTGTTCTTCCCTTGCAGGACTACGACCTCTGCATCAACTGCTACAACACTAAGAGCCATGACCACAAGATGGTTAAGTGGGGCCTGGGTCTGGACGATGAGAGCAACAGCCAAGGAGAGCAGCAGTCCAAGAGCCCCCAGGAGTCGCGACGGCTGAGCATCCAGCGCTGCATCCAGTCCCTCGTCCACGCCTGCCAGTGCCGCAACGCAAACTGCTCCCTGCCATCCTGCCAGAAGATGAAACGGGTTGTCCAGCACACCAAGGGCTGCAAGCGCAAGACCAACGGTGGCTGTCCGGTGTGCAAACAGCTCATCGCTCTTTGCTGCTACCATGCCAAACACTGCCAAGAGAACAAATGCCCCGTGCCATTCTGTCTCAATATCAAACACAAGCTCCGACAGCAGCAGATCCAGCACCGCCTGCAGCAGGCTCAGCTCATGCGCAGAAGGATGGCGACCATGAACACCCGAAACGTGCCTCAGCAAAGTTTGCCTTCTCCTACCTCAGCAACGCCTGGTACCCCCACACAGCAGCCAAGTACACCGCAGACACCGCAGCCTGCCCCCCAGCCCCAGCCCTCCCCTGTAAGTATGTCACCGGCCGGCTTTCCCAGTGTGTCCAGAACCCAGCCCCCCACCACCGTCTCGACAGGAAAACCCGCAAACCCGGTGTCCGCGCCTCCGCCTCCGGCTCAGCCCCCGCCGGCCGCCGTGGAAGCGGCTCGGCAGATCGAGAGAGAGGCTGCCCAGCAGCAGCAGCAGCTCTACAGGGTCAACAACATGAACAATGGTTTGCCTCCCGGCCGCCCGGGACTCGTGAACCCCGCGGTGGGTTCGGTGAACCAGATGCCGCAAGTCAACATGAATGTACCGCGCCCCAACCCCGTGAGCGGCCCCGTCATGTCCAACATGCAGCCCGGGCAGTGGCCGTCGCCGCCGATGCCGCAGCAGCAGCCGATGCAGCCGGGGATGGCCAGGCCGGTGATGCCGATGGCGACGCCGCAGGCCGTGGCCGGGCCCAGGATGCCAGGCGTGCAGCAGCCGCCGCGCAGCATCACCCCGAACGCACTTCAGGACTTGCTGAGGACCTTGAAATCACCAAGTTCTCCGCAGCAGCAACAGCAGGTTCTTAATATCCTTAAATCCAACCCTCAGCTTATGGCAGCTTTTATAAAGCAAAGAACAGCCAAATACGTGGCGAACCAGCCCGGGATGCAGCCGCAGGCAGGGATCCAGCCCCAGCCCGGGATGCAGCAGCCGCAGACCGGGATGCAGCAGCCCGGCATGCACGCGCAGGCGGGACTGCAGAACATGAACGCCATGCAAGCAGGAGTGCAGAGACCCAGCGTCCCGCCGCAGCAGCAGGGGATCGGAGCGATGAATCCCCAGGGACAGGCGATCAACATCATGAACCCCGGCCACAACCCCAGCATGGCCAACATGAGCCCGCAGTACCGAGAGATCCTGAGGCGGCAGCTACTGCAGCAGCAACAGCAGCAGCAGCAGCAGCAACAGGGAGGGGCCGGCATGGCAGGAGGGATGGCAGCACACAACCAGTTCCAGCAGCCCCAAGGGCCGGGAGGTTACCCCCAAGCCATGCAGCAGCAGCGGATGCAGCAGCACCTGTCCATACAGGGCGGTTCCATGGGACAGATGGCTCAGATGGGACAGCTGAACCAGATGGGCCAGCCCGGCCTGGGGGCGGACGGCGCTCCCAACATCCAGCAGGCCCTGCAGCAGCGCATCCTGCAGCAGCAGCAGATGAAGCAGCAGATAGGGTCCCCCGGGCAGCCCAACCCCATGAGCCCACAGCAGCACATGCTCTCAGGACAAGCGCAGGCGTCTCATCTCCCTGGCCAGCAGATCGCCACCTCCCTCAGCAACCAGGTGCGGTCCCCAGCACCCGTTCAGTCTCCCCGTCCCCAGTCCCAGCCACCACATTCCAGCCCGTCACCCCGGATACAGCCCCAACCGTCACCGCACCACGTCTCTCCCCAGACTGGTTCCCCCCACCCAGGACTCGCAGTCACTATGGCTAGTTCCATGGATCAGGGACACTTGGGCAACCCAGAACAGAGTGCAATGCTTCCCCAACTAAACACCCCCAACCGGAGCGCGTTGTCTAACGAGTTGTCTCTGGTTGGTGACACCACCGGGGACACATTAGAGAAATTTGTGGAGGGTTTGTAGCATTATGGGAGCATCACTTTTGTTTCTTCTTTCCTTTCGTGTTCTTGGATATTTTGTACTGAAAAATTCAGACATCTGGGTTGTTTTGAATCCTAGATGGAACTGCTGCTTCCTACAGATGGAAGAATTAATTGCTGTTTAAAAATAAAAAGAAAAAAAAAACAATACAAAGAATATATTTTTTTGTTAAAGCCAGGCGGTTAAAATATCTGGTCTCTTTTGTGGGTTTTTTTGGTTTTTATTTTTTTGTTGCTGTTGACTCATACCTTTTTTTTAACGGGGAAAACAAGTTCATTATATTCATATTTTTTATTTGTATTTTCAAGACTTTAAACATTTGCGTTTAAAAGAAGAAAAAAAAATAATATTCAGAAACTGTTTCCTGAAATAATGCAACATTATAGCGTATCCCGGTAACTTTGACACATGGCGGGAAGATTTTTGTTTTCTATAGTGAACTCTGCAGGCGTTTGAAGTATTACCCCTGGGAAGATAGGAATTGACTCTTGCACACATTGGCCAACGCCAAAATCCTTGTCTTGCAGATGTAGAAATTGTTGCTTTGTTTCTCTGATAAAACTGGTCTTAGATGAAAATAGGGATGATCACTCTTAGGCCGTGCTGATCTGGATAGAGAAGAAACATTCTTTTCTTTCTTTCTTCTGTGTGAAACTTGAAACGAGGAAAGCAATTCTAGTGTAAATCATGCAAGCGCTATAATTACTATAAATAAGAAAATCCAAGAAGATTCAATCACTGTATAGAATGGTAAAAAGAAAAAAAAAAACTCATTTCTTACTTATAATATCATATTGTTAAAATAAACTGTGTGCAACAGACAAAAAGGGTGGTCCTTCTTGAATCCATGTACATGGTATTAACACTTAGTGTTTGGGTTTTTTGTTATGAAAATGCTGTTTTCAACATTGTATTTGGACTATGCATGTCTTTTTTCCATTGTATATAAAGTATTGCTTAAAATTGATATAAATTACTGAAGTTTTTAACATGTATTCTGTTCTTTAAAATCCATGTAAGAATGTTTAAGGTTTTTATTTATTTATATATTTTTTTTTTTTGGATCATGTTCTTTGTAAGACATAGCTATGACGATTCACTCATGACCCGGAGCAGCCAGAGGCAGCGGTAGGAGTGGCACGATCCATGGATGTTGTAGGTAGCAATGTCTGTTTTACAACACCTTTAGCGATTGTTTCCTTTTCGGGGAGGGAGAGGAGAAGGGGAATGGTTCCCAGCCATCGACTCTTTGCAGGTGTTCATCCATAAGGGTTAACTGGAATAAATTATTAATAGCCGTTGCTTTTTAAAAACTGCATTAATTTAGAGAAGGATCACCAATGAAAGGAAAATAGAGAGTATTGAGTTAATTCTAGGCTAATTTATTTAGTCTACAGTAAAATATGAACCTATTGACTTTAACACTATTTTTCTGCTGTTAACTCTGAGTCTAGATTTGAGGGTTTTCTGTGGAATAAAAAATAACAAATCATGTACATGTTCCCTTTAATATCCTGTCACATGCCCTCCTGTCCCTGGGATACTCACCCCTCCTCCCCTCAGTGAATTGCTCTCTTGGAGTTAAAAAGTCCAGGGCACTTTCCCAGCGTAGGTGTGAGCTCGAACCACGCCGAGCCGTAACCGCCATCCCTCAGACCTCAAGGCTCCTCCATTCCATGCGCCTGGCATGGGCTTTGCAGCGATTCCAGCAGGGAATCCCGCCTGGCAGCGGGAGCACCGGGCACACGTGGCTTTTCACATCCAGTTAGTGCTTCCTCCAGCCTTAACGTTTTTCTTGGAGTGCTGTTGGGGGAGGATGGGGGGGAGAAGAGCAAGGATTTATCTCAACTTTTATTCCCCGTACTGTGAAAACAGCGCCCGGCGGCGCCTTTTTAACTGGAGAGGGTCTCTGCTTCAACTTTTCTTGCAAACTTTTAAACTCTTGTACCTTTTTCACCACCATCGGATTCATCTGCCCACGCAATTGTCTTCAGCAATTCAAGATGTCAAAATTTGGGGCTGGGCTGAGGTCAGTGAACACTAACCCAAAGCTTGTCCAAAAGAAATTGCTGTTAAAAAAAAAAAAAAGGAGGAAAAAAAAAAAAGATGGAAAGCCCTGATGCTGTGTCTCATGCTGTGTACTTAAAAAAGAGGAAAAATACTATATTTGTGATCAAAAAGAGGAAACTTGAAATGTGCTGGTGTTTCTAATAAAAGCTGGTAAAACTGCTTGGATTGAAGGATGGTTCCACTTGGCTGGTGCCCGCGAGGATCAGCGGAGCCTGACGCCCGAGGTTAAGATAACTGCACTCAATCCCGCTAATTCCTCTAAGTAGCCTCCATTTTAAAGGCATCGGCACCGCTTCCGGATTTGGATAAGCCGAGCCCTGGTTGCTGTGGCTCAGCCTGCAGCTCGCTCGGGTGCCCCTTCCTGGGCGAGAGTGGAAAAAAACAACCGATGGGCAGCCAGCACCGGAATGTTTTTCAGTACAACCCCAAGTGTGGTGAGATCACAGAGCCAAGGGGTCGGTGCGGATCCAATAACGAGCTCTCTGGAGCAGGTGTGTGAGGGAAGAGCAGGGAGAGAAGGGAGGTGCAGAGCTGAAATCAAACCTGAGCAGGGGCTGGGCTGGGGGTGCAGGCCCTGCAGCCTCGGGGAGGTTTCACTCCAGTCTCCTGTGAGTGTTGATAGGAAATTCAGCATGGCTGAAGACTGCATGGGCATGGATTTGTCCTTGCCTGTGTTTGATGGAGGTCCTGGCACTAAGGAACAGCATCCTAGAAACATGGGAATTTATAAGGCAAGCGTGCACTGGAGCTGGATGCAGGATCTTCACCACCAGAGAGGGTGGGTAAGCCCTTCCCCCCCGAATTCTGGAGGGGAAGAAGGTGCTTAAATCTGAACACTGACCTGCAAGGACGACTCTCTGCTCCTTTCCTGGGCTGTCCACCCCACTCCACTGTGCTGCTGGCTCTGCTGCCTCCCACCGCTGCCCCTCCTGCTGCAGGCACAGCCGGGCTGCCTCCCGGACACAGAGCTGCCCCAGCACCCGTGTGAGCACAGCCTGCTCTGGGCTCCCCTCGGACACAGAGCTGCCCCGGCACCCGTGTGAGCACAGCCTGCTCTGGGCTCCCCCCGGGCGTTAAAGCAGCGGGGAGGAACAGGAGCCAAACAGGCTGGGACAGTCCCAGTGCAGGGAAGATCAAGCAGCCGCTGTGGAGCTGGGGGAGCACTGCAGAGCACACAGGTGTGGGGTGATCTCTCCTTCCCTGTGCTTCTCCACAGTCAGGAATTTAAAATGTGGAGCAGGAGGCTGCCAGGGCAGTGGTTGAAGCCAGCTGGTGCCAGCCCCTGGATAACTGAAACGAGCCTGGATAGAGGGAAGGATCTCCCCCAGATCCCCTGCAATCCCTCCAGGAGAACACTTCATGGCCAGTGGTCAAAGCACACCCAGGGTGAGGCAGGGGGAAGATCCGGGTGTTTCACAGCAGGTACAAGAGCTCCGTTAAGATGTCGCTCTCAGAAATGCTGTGGGGTCAGCTGGAGGTAGCAGTGAGCACAGCAGGAGGAGGGAGGGAAGTGTTTGAAACGGGCTCAGAAGTCATTTTGGTTTTGGCTGCAGCACAGGGAATCTCGATGAAGGATCGGAGTTGGTTCCAGGTGGAAATGCAGCTGCTGGAAGGGCACAGCACTGGTGCAAAGGCTCATGCTGGGTCTGTTGCACCTAATCCATAAGATCCAGTGTCACACAAACCCCGCTCTGTGTAAACGCTTCTTGGACGTGAACCTCCAAAACAACACGTGTAGTCCCGGGGATCATTGCAGCCATGAGTGAATTGCACACGGAGCTTTCCAGGGAGCTCCCGGGATTACAGAGCTGGCTGTGTGCGGTGGGCACGGTTCCCTGCTGAGGGCTCCTCGGTCTGGAAGTGGTTAGTGCTCCCTGAAAGGAGCCCTGCTCCATCCTTTGTTTGGCCGTGGTGTTCAGCTCCGACCGCCGAGCTCCTGCCACAGCCTGGGCTGGGCTCCCTGGGTCACCAGCGCGGACAGACCCGCAGGGCCGTCTGTGCGGTTTGTAACCTGCGGCTGGCTCCCTGTTCTGACGAGTCCTGAGAAACACCGACATTTTTACCATCGAAAGGCTTGGAAGTGGCGTCCTGGGCTTGGCATCCAACCTCCTGGCAGAGCCCTGGAAACCCGCCGTGAGGGAATCCGGGCAGGGCCGGGAAGGGGCTCAGCCCGAGGGCCGGGAAGGGCAGCCGAGGCCGTGAGGGGACAGAGCCCGAGGCCGTGAGGGAGGGCACCCAACCTGGGGCACTGGGGCAGGGCCATGAGGGTACTCAGGCGGGGCTGTGAGGGGAGTCGGGAGGAGCCCAGACGGTACTCGACCCGGAGGCCATGAGGGGACTCTGGAGGAGCCCCGAGGGTGCTCAGGAGGTGCCCGGGGTCCGTGAGGGGACTCCGGAGGTGCCGTGAGGGGGCTCTGGAGGTGCCGTGAGGGGGCTCTGGAGGTGCCGTGAGGGGGCTCTGGAGGTGCCGTGAGGGGACTCTGGAGGTGCCGTGAGGGGGCTCTGGAGGTGCCGTGAGGGGGCTCTGCCCGGGGTCCCTGAGGGGGCTCTGGAGGTGCCGTGAGGGGGCTCCGGAGGTGCCGTGAGGGGACCCAGGAGGTGCCGTGAGGGGGCTCTGGAGGTGCCGTGAGGGGGCTCTGCCCGGGGTCCGTGAGGGGACTCTGGAGGTGCCGTGAGGGGACCCAGGAGGTGCCGTGAGGGGACCCAGGAGGTGCCGTGAGGGGGCTCTGGAGGTGCCGTGAGGGGGCTCTGCCCGGGGTCCGTGAGGGGACCCTACAGGAGCCCTGCAGGGCCGAGCGCGCGCAGGCTGAGGGACAGGGTGACGTCACCGCGCGCGGAGGAATGCCTCGCGCCCCGGCCCCCATGACGTCATCGCGGTGCGCCGCGCTCGGGCAGCAGGGCCATGGCGGCGGTGGCGGTGAGGGGGGCGCGGGGGGCGCGGCGGCTCCTCCCGGCCCTGCGGCCCCTCGGGGCCCTGCCCGGGCCGCGCCCGCCCGCAGGTGAGCGGGGGGGCGGGCGGCGTGAGGGACCGGCCGGTCCTCCTGGGCTCGGCCCGGCGGGCGCGCTCCTTCGCCTGCGCGGAGCCGCGCTCGGCCCGCGGTGTCCTTCGGCGGGGGCGCAGGGCCCGAGTGTCACCCGCAGCGCCCCGTCCCTCTCGGCTGGTCCCGCCGTGGCCGCTCGGCAGGAACCGACCTGAGAACGCCCAGCGCTCCTTCCTGCGGGAGAGCGAGCTCCTCTGGGACTGTACAGGGAACAGAGCACAGCGCGGGGGTTTGTGGTGTCTTGTGTCGGGCAGGGAGCACGGTCAGGGTGTGCAGGTTCATGTCCCGGCTCAGACAGGGCGCGTAGCATGTCCCAGTTCTCCTTTTGGCTCGCACAGCATGTGCCAGCTCAGGTCATGCAGCATGTGCCGGCTCATGGCCTCGTTCACGCAGGGTGTGCAGCACACGTCCCAGTTCCTCTGCTGGCTCATCCAGGGTGTGTGGGGTGTCCGGGTTTATCTGCTGGCTCGTGCAGGCTGTGTAGCGCGTTCAGATCGTGTGTGGTGTCCTGGTTCATGTCCCAGCTCATACAGCACATTCAGATCATGCAGCCTGTCCCAGTCCTGCCCTGGCTCATGCAGGGTTTCCAGCACTTCCGTGGGGAGCTGGGGGAGGGCAGAAGGCAGCAGTGCTCTGTTCTCTGGCCATTCAGTACCAGGGCACTTTACATATGAGCCTGAAGGGTTTGCATGTCCCAGGGCTGCACCCAAGGTTTCACCTCAGGCAGCTGACAGGAGTGAGTGCTAAGAAAATCCAAACTCTGAGGCCTTGATTATGGGATGTGCTCTCTTATCAAGGCCATCATGCACAGGAGTTGTCGTTATCCGAGGCACAGTGATGATCTTCCCGTGTGTCTCCTGTGAGCAGCCCCTGCTGTGCTCTGTGTTTCCTTCTCTGTTGTCTGGCCCCTGGTCCACACACTGGTAGATTGTCACTGTGGTCTGTGGTTTCCCTGTGGGTTATGAAGAGAGAATGTGACAGAGGAAATTGTGTGACAAATAGGGTCACTGTCAGGGTCGGACTGTCAGATTAATTGTGCCACTGAGTGCCACTTCAGTGTTTCTGGGCAATCCAGCTCTTCCTCCACGGAAATCCCCAGTGGTTTGTCGGTATCTGTGTCTGGAGCGAAGCCACGAGCCTCTGGTGGGTTAGATGTGCTCCAGCAGAGCCAGAGTTTATTCCTTAACCTGTCGTTCTGGTCCTTCAGGGGAAAAAATAGTGGGCAGAAGCTGCGTGGGGTGGGAATAACGAGGGAGGAGCAGGAGGTGGTGTCCTTTCAGTTGGATACAGGCTGCAGGGACAGCCCTCCCCTCCCTTTGGCCGTGCAGAACAGGCAGTGTCTGCTCTCACAGTGCTGAGGGTTGAAGCTGCTGCAGAGGTTTTTGGGAGATGTGTTGGTGGGAGCGGCTCAGTCAGGGAACCTCTCATCCCCTGATTCACGTGGATCTGGTGCCCAGCTAGGGAGCCTCTTTGTCTGATGTGATCTGAGCTGGGAGGGTTTATTCTCTGCACGAGCCTCCCTGGGCTCAGGGCTGCCCTGCACGGAGCTGTTATGGTAATTTCTGCTGACCCAAATTCTCCTCTTTTGTTTTGAGGCACAGACTGCTTTGTGCTGGATTTCCCACCCTAAATCCCTAACTGGCGCTGGGCTCGGCTCCCTGCAGTCCTTTTGCAGGATGAGGCTGTGTTTCCTGGGGGCTGCTTGGCTCTGGGAGTCGCTGAGGCATCCTGGTGTGTGGATCGAGAGCAGCCCGTGGGGATGAGGGTCCTTGTCCTTGCCTTGTTCCCCGTGTGCGAGGTGGCTCCGTGGCCACAGGCACAGGATCCCTTGGGATCATGGACAACTGGAAGCTGGGGGGTAGTGTGGGTTTCTCCACCTCTCCTGGTGCAGGTGGGGCAGTGATGGGTGTAGAAATGTACATGGGCTGTGATAAAGCTCCACATTTGATTAACTTGTTATCAAAATATATAATACCTGATTTGCCCAAGCACATCACAGCACCCATCTGGGGCAAGAGCCATTCCTTCTTCATCTCTTGGTCCTCAGAATTTGGGCTCCTTCCAAGTGTCATGTAACCTGTTAACTCTGCAGGTCCTTTCTCCACAGCTCTTGTGTGCTGATAATTGTA